AAACTTGTAATCTCATCACAAAAAGATATCACGTTAGTCTGACAGGATTTATTTACCATAAACTCACGTTGATTTGCATTAATTACATTACCCTCCTTTAGATCTTTATTAACTGAGTCTCTTATCAGCTGCTCCATTATCTTGCCCAGGATCATAGTTAGAATGACAGATCTATAATTACCCAGGTCATCCTGTTTATCCTGTTTAAAAATTGTTGCAACCTTGGCTGTCTGCCAGGCTTCTGGAACTTTCCCAGTGCTCCAAGGCTTATTGAAAAATCAGCATTAAAAGTCCAGCAAGCTTCTCAGCCATCTCTTCTAAAACTCTTGGGTGCAAGTTAGCTGGACCTGCTGATTTAAAAATGTATCACTTTAGTAGCTTCTGTTTAACGTCCTCCAGAAATACTAGTGGAATGAAAAATGTGTTGTCACCACCATATGATGACGTTTTTTTCCTCAAATACAGAACAGAAATATTTATTGAACATATCTGCTTTTTCTGCATTATTATTGATAATTCTGCCATTTCCATCTACTAATGCACCAATACCTTTCTCATGATTCTTTTTGTTTCTAATATTTTTTTTTAAAAGCTCCTTCTTGACTCTAATGACTCTAGATTTCTCCTTATGTCCCTTGGCTTCCTTTTTTAATTTTTTTAGAATTCCTAACTTCTGCTTTATATGTATGACTATCAACTTCCCCTTTTCTCCATTTGTTTTATATATATATATATATAATTTTTTGCAGCGGCCTTCACTTCCGCATTAAACCAAGTTGTTTTTTTAACCAGTGTGGCCTTCTGCCTTGATTGTAGGATTGTGGCTTTTTGGACACCTAGTAAGATGTTTTTAAATGATCTGCAAATATCATTCAAATTTTTCTGATTACATTCTTCCTCCCAGCTGATCTGGATCATAATTGTTTTCAGCTTTGCAAAATTGGCCCTATTAAACTACCAAGTATAGATCTCACTGGTCTGGACTTTATTCTACTTCCTTGTTATAAATGTGATCAAGCCATGATCACTGGTGCCTAAGTTTCCATTGACTTTTAGTTCTGTGATCAGTTTCTCTTTATCAGTTAAGACAAGGTCTGATAAAAAAATCCCCTATGTTGATTACAACACTATTTTGCTTAGGAAATTGCCATCTATTACATTTAGAAATTCCCAGGGATTTAGCAGTGCTTAATTTTTGCCAGGGCTGAGCCTTGGCACCTCTGGTGGCAGTTCATAGCTCCAGCACCTCTGGGTTTGCTGCATCACTTATTAATGTAAAAATATTGCCTGAGCCCTGGCACCTCTTTCATTACGAATTAAACACTGTGTTTTAGTACTGAAAGCATGGGACCTACAGAATATGTCACTCAAACTGAAATCCCTCATGATCACACAGGTTTTTTTCCCTACACATTGTAGATAGGTGTGTAACCCTTCTGCCAAGGCACCAGCAGGGGACAGGTCCTTATTTCAGGGGATTCTCTTCAATTTTGTCTCAAGCTCCCACCCAGTAATCTAGAAACCTCTAATCACTCGGGTACCTTTGCCGGGCAAATCTGTTCCTATTTGCAAGCACAGAGATTTAAAACAAATAAAATTCAAAAAAGAACTAGATAAATTCATGGAGGATAGTGTGACATTGCACTTCATATGATTTTATGAAAATATGCTAATAAGTGTGAATATAATGTAACTGGAATATGCTTCATGCAAAAGGTCTCTTATAAGGTATCATTATAAAGCTTATAATATACTGAGTGTGGTCATCCTATTTGTATGAATGTATCATTCTTGTATCTAAAACTAGAAATATGAAATATAACTCTGGGGTCCTATTGTACTTATGCAAAGTGTGGGCCATTAATAGTGGTTTAGAATCTTGATGGCTTCCATCGACTAGGACAATTGACTGTAGATGACTCTGTTTACTTGCAAGCCTTCCTGTGAGTCAAGCTGGGAAGAATGAAGGTTTGGGGTCTCACAGGACATGTGACCATGTCACCTGGTACTGAAGTCCATCTTAAATCTGGTGCTTTTCCATTTAGAAAGAGATGTGGGGACCCAGAGAGACAAAAGATTCCAACCTTGTGCCAAAGCTATAAAAGGGGGTGGAACAGAACAAAGTGGGCTGCGATCATGAGAAATCCCCTAGCTACCACCTGAGCTGGAACAAGGACTGTACTAGGGGAAAGGATTGGGCCCAGACTAGAAAGGAGTCTAGTCTGTGAAAGAAGCTTACTGGAACATCTCTGAGGGTGAGATTTATCTGTAATCAGTTTCTTACTGTATTAGGCTTAGACTTGCGTGTTTTTCTTTTATTTTTCTTGGTAATTTACTTTGTTCTGTCTGTTATTACTTGGGTCCACTTAAATCTGACTTTTTATACTTAATAAAATCGCTTTTTGCTTATTAATTGACTCAGAGTAAGTAATTAATTCCTGGGGGAGCAAACAGCTGTGCATATCTCTCTGTCAGTGTTATAGAGGGCGGACAATCTATGAGTTTACCCTGTATACGCTTTCTACAGAGTAAAATGGATTTATTTAGGGTTTGGATCCCATTGGGAACTGGGTATCTGGGTGCTAGTGACAGGAGCACTTCTTAAGCTGTTTTCGGTTAAGTCTGCAGCTTGTGGGGGACATGGTTCAGACCTGGATCTGTGTTTGTAGCAGGCTAGCGTGTCTGCCTCAACAAGACAGGGTACTGAAGTCCCAAGCTGTCAGGGAAAACTGGTTCAGAGGTAGTCTCAGCACATCAGGTGGCAGTCCCAGGGCGTCTTCTGTGACCCAGCCCATCACAGATAGGTCCATCAATGGCTATTAGCCAGGATGGGCAGGGATGGTGTTTCTAACCTCTGTTTGCCAGAAGCTGGGAATGGGAGATAGGGAGTGGATCACTTGATGATTACCTGTTCTGTTCATTCCCACACCTGGCATTGGCCACTGTCGAAAGAGAGGATACTGGGCTACAAGGACCTTTGGTCTGACCCAGTATGGCCATTCTTATGGTCTTAACTTTATTGGGGGGGCCAGGGAAGGGCCAGGTTAAACTAGGACAAATATTTACAGTTTAACACCTTTCACCACCATTTACCTCATGGTGCATAAGTCTTAGTCCCAAACAATTGGACCCTGAATGGCTGATGCAGTTTGTTCTGCCATCCCAGCCTTCAACTCTCAGTTCATGGGTCCCCAACTTCCTCCCTCATTGTTGGTGGTTCCCAGAGTCCAGGTAAACCTGTCCTGCTATAGCAGCAGTTCTCAATCAGCAGCCCAATTAGCACAGAGCTGTGGCCCAGCTGTGTGCTAAAAAAAATGTCAAAATTTCCCATGCTGGTCTGATAAGGGGTGGGGCTGGCTGAGCAGGAGAGAGAATAAGGCAGCCTGCTGGAGTGATGCTGCCAGCAGGGGGCTGGTGAGTTCTGCAGGGAGTGGGTCTGTGGGCAGGTTGGGGAGGGCACTGGGATCTAGAGTTTTGCTGGGGTGCTGCAGAACCCCCAGGTTTTAGGTGGGGCTCTGCTCCAGAGGTTGGGTCCAGCTGCCCAGCCCCATGTGGGGGGGTCAGATCTGGCTGTGGGCTGCCTGGCCCCTCACAGTGGTGTCCCGGGGTCTTGCTCCCGGCCCTGCACTGAGAGGTCCAGGACCAGCTGCCGGCTGCACAGCCCTGCACTTCAGGGTCTCGGGTCCTGCTGCCCGGCCCCACATCTTGGGATCCTGGGCTCCTGCTGCCTGGCCTCGCACAGCAAGGTCCTGGGCTCTGGCTGCCTGGCCACACTGTGGTTCTCAGCCTGCAGCCCATGTAACACATTGTGGGCCGCATATGCAGCCCCCAGTGATAAACAGGTTGAGAACCACTGTGCTATAGTGAGTTCAGAAGCTGGGACAAAGTCACTAGGCTGACACAGATGGTTGCTGTGAATTCCTGCTCCCTGTGTCATTCACACAACTGCTCTCTGCCACAAGCTAAGGCCTGTGGGTGAATCCAATGACTGCCTTGCTTTGGCAGCTGCTCAGACATCCAGAACTGCGGCTAGGCTCCCACCTCTGCTTGCCAGTGTCGAGACAACTGGAATCTCTGGTGACTTCTACCCATGTGAAGCAATTACACCTCTTAGCTCAGCTTTCCAGATGCAAGGAGACCAGTAGCCTTAGGACCACAGTAGAGACTTTACCACCCAAAGAGCTATTCCCAGTGACAAACATCAGTATCCATCAGGGTGACCATACTCAGTCATTCTCCAGCCTTTGCCCAGGTGGGTTCTCAACAGCATACTCTCAACTATATGGACCCCAAGTACAAAACTTAGTCAAATTATACCCCAACGTCCCCAAACTATCTGCAGTTAATATGCAAATGAGGTACTGCCTCACTCAGTCCACTGCACTTGCTCCCTGGCAGATGCCAGCAGAGAGCTCACTCAGTTACCTCCCTTCTCTTATAGGCTTGAGGCCCCAGGACTTAGAAATGTGTGAGAAGCCAGTCATCCTGTTCTCTATTGTGATGTGGTGGTCTGTAGCAGACACCAACTAGTATCCCATCTTGTGCTTGATCTGCTCGGACACCGATCCATAAACAGCTCAACATCATTTTCTTCCAAGTTATCAGTGACTTGGAAACAAGTAATGTTATTTTTGACATAGGATGCCAAGTTCCCCCCTACACACACACTTTTTGCCCACTTGCTCCTTCCCAGAGAGGGTATAATAATTGACTGTAACATTCCAATAGTGCAAATTATCTCACCAAGTTTCCATAATACCAACTAGATCAAAGTTATACTCATAAATGAGCAATTCTAATTACTCTTGGTTTGTTACCCAGGCTCCTAGCATTGGTTTATAGGCAATATGAGTCAGTGTGCCCCCTTCCTCCCACCCTTGTAAGTCTTTTATGTGGGGTCATGGAAAACCTGTTAAAGCATTTTAAATTTAAAGGAATTAACAGATGTTCCCCACCCCGCACTCACACTTTCTTTTATTCCCTTTCCTTTACTTACTTAGGCCTGGTCTACACTACAAGTTTATGTCGTATTTAGAAGCGTTACATTGAATTAACCCTGCCCCCGTCCATACAACAAAGCCATTTTTTTCGACATAAAGGGCTCTTAAAACCGATTTCTGTACTCCTCCCCAATGAGGGGATTAGCACTGAAATCAACATTGCCATTTCAAGTTAGGATTAGTGTGGACGCAATTCGAAGATATTAGCCTCTGGGAGCTATCCCACAGTACACCATTGTGACCGCTCTGGACAGCACTCTGAACTCGGATACACTGGCCAGGTGTACAGGAAAAGCCCCGGGAACTTTGGAATCTCATTTCCTGTTTAGCCAGGCAAGCTCATCAGCAGAGGTGACCATGATGGAGTCCCAGAATCGAAAAAGAGCTCCAGCGTGGACCGAACGGGAGGTACTGGATCTGATCGCTGTATGGGGAGATGAATCCATGCTATCACAACTACGTTCTAAAAGACGAAATGCCAAAACATTTCAAAAAATCTCCGAGGCCATGAGGGACAGAGGCTACAGCAGGGACGCAACACAGTGCCGCGTGAAACTTAAGGAGCTCAGACAAGCATAACAGAAAACCAAAGAATCAAATGGATGCTCCAGGACAGAGCCCCAGACATGCCACTTCTACGCTGAGCTGCATGCAATTCTAGGGGGGGCCGCCACCACTACTCCACCCCTGTCCGTGGACTCCGATGATGGGGTACTCTCCGCCATGCCTGAGGATTTTGTGGACGGGGAAGATGAGGAGGAGGAGGAGGACGAGCTTGGGGAGAGCACACAGCACACCGTTCTCCCCGACAGCCAGGATCTTTTTCTCACCCTGACTGAAATACCCTCCCAATCCAACAAAGCCGGAGAAGGGACCTCTGGTAAGTGTACCTTTTTAAATATAATACACATTATAAAAGCAAGTGTTTTTTAATGATTAAGTAGCCCAGAGAATTGGATGGGGTTTGGGATTAGTTTGGTTTCTGCTGCTGCACGTTAACAGGAAAACCGCAGCACTAAATGGCCAACTCAACGTGCTTTGCTTGGTATGGGAGAGGAGGGCACTGCTGTTATGAAGATTGCAGAAGCCGAAAGACTATGGCTTACCATGGCCGCCTGCAAGCCGAATTCTGTTGCCTGGCACTGCATGTGTGATCTCTAACACCAAAGCCACAGGCACTCAATATAAGATGCAAAATGCGACCTTGTACCAAAATCGCATGTGCTATGTAATGTGAATAGTGTTGTTCACCGTGAAAGAGTATAGCCATTGTTCTGTAAAATGCTCTTTTTAAATACTTCACTCCCATTTTTTCCTCCAGCAGCTGCAAATGTTTCAAGCCTCCCTCCTCCATCCCAAAGGCTATCTCAGATAAGGCGGAGAGAAAAACGCATGCGAGATGAAATGTTCTCTGAGATCATGCAGTCGTCCGGCACTGACAGAGCTCAGCAGAATGTGTGGAGGGACACAATAGCAGAGTACAGGAAAGTGGCCGATGAATGTGAGGAGAGGTGGCGGCAGGAAGATCAGAGGAGGCATGAGGCAACCCTGGGGTACTGTGAGATCAAACGGACATCTGTCCAGTTCATGAACGGCAGCAGGATCACAGACTGCTGCTGCAGCCCCTGCTTAACCGCCCTCCCTCCTCCCCAAGTTCCATCGTCCTCACCCAGACGCCCAAGAACGTGGTGGGGGGGAAGGCTCTGGGCACCCAACCACTCCACCCCAGTGGACAGCCCAAGCAACAGAAGGCTGTCATTCAAGAAGTTTTAAAGTGGCCTTTTCCTTCCGTCCTCCCACACCCCACCCAGGCTACCTTGTGAGTTATCTTCCTATTTTTATAATCAATTAATAAAGAATACATGGTTTTTAAATGATAGTGACTTTATTTCCTTTGCAAGTGTAAGCAGAGTCAGGATGAGCTCCACCCTGACATCTGGTGGTGAGGTGTGGCAAGTTGTGGAAAAGAACTTCACGGGCCGATCTCATTTGCATAGGCTCACCCACCCCCGCTAGAATGAGGCCATAGCTGCCCAAATGATCACTTTGGCTGCTGTGGGATCCCCAGTGTCTCTGTTATTGGGGCAGGAAGAATAAATTGTTATTACCCTGATTATGGGAATCAAGGACAGTAGAACTGTACTTGGCCTTTTGTTATGATGGAGGGATTCACCATCAACTAAGTAGCACTCGCTAGGCAAGGGACATGGGTTCCAAAACTCTGTGAATGGAGAGAGGCTGGGGACAGGTTGTCATAAATATAAAGGGAAGGGTAAACCCCTTTGAAATCCCTCCTGGCCAGGGGAAAGCTCCTCTCACCTGTAAAGGGTTAAAAAGCTAAAGGTAACCTCGCTGGCACCTGACCAAAATGACCAATGAGGAGACAAGATACTTTCAAAAGCTGGGAGGAGGGAGAGAAACAAAGGGTCTGTGTCTATCTGTATGCTGGGTCTTTGCCGGGGATAGACCAGGAATGGAGTCTTAGAACTTTTAGTAAGTAATCTAGCTAGGTATGTGTTAGATTATGATTTCTTTAAATGGCTGAGAAAAGAATTGTGCTGAATAGAATAACTATTTCTATCTGTGTATCTTTTTTGTAACTTAAGGTTTTGCCTAGAGGGGTTCTCTATGTTTTGGAATCTAATTACCCTGTAAGATATCTACCATCCTGATTTTACAGGGGGGATTTCTTTATTTCTATTTACTTCTATTTTTTATTAAAAGTCTTCTTGTAAAAAACTGAACGCTTTTTCATTGTTCTCAGATCCAAGGGTTCGGGTCTGTGGTCACCTATGCAAATTGGTGAGGCTTTTTATCCAACATTTCCCAGGAAAGGGGGGGTGCAAGTGTTGGGAGGATTGTTCATTGTTCTTAAGATCCAAGGGTCTGGGTCTGTAGTCACCTAGGCAAATTGGTGAGGCTTTTTACCAAACCTTGTCCAGGAAGTGGGGTGCAAGGTTTTGGGAAGTATTTTGGGGGGAAGGACGCGTCCAAACAGCTCTTCCCCAGTAACCAGTATTAGTTTGGTGGTGGTAGCGGCCAGTCCAAGGACAACGGGGGGAATATTTTGTACCTTGGGGAAGTTTTGACCTAAGCTGGTAAAGATAAGCTTAGGAGGTTTTTCATGCAGGTCCCCACATCTGTACCCTAGAGTTCAGAGTGGGGGAGGAACCTTGACACAGGTATTAGTACTTGGTGGTATACACCCACCCCCCTCTGGTAAGGGCCTTACATGCTAATTGCACTTCCTCCTCTCTCTACTGTGGAATATCAGAGCTAATTTTGATTCCATTAGGAGTCTAGTTACAGGCTGCTGAGCTGAATTCACTTGGGGCTAATGGTGCACCAGCACTGAGGCTCCTCTACTACAAGCTGAAATCACAAAAGAGCTGAAATCACTGAGTGTTGTGTTAAGTAGTGGGGGAGCCTGAAGCTATATGGTGGAGCAGTTTGTGGGATGGTGAGCAGAGCGGCTGGTGGAGCAGAGTGGTTTGCGGGATGGCTGGCAGAGCATTGCAGTTTTTGGGATGGCGAGCGGAGCGGCTGCAGAACATTGCAGTTTGCAGGATGGCGAGCAGAGTGGAGCGGCTGGTGGAGCAGAGCAGTTTGCGGGACAGCGAGCAGAGCAGAGCGGCTGGTGGAGCAGAGCAGTTTGTCGGATGCCTAGAGCAGCTCATGGGGCGGCTGGCAGAGCGGAGCCCCATGGAGAGGTGGGGCCATCAGATTTGGACCACATAAGGTGCCCCTTAACCCCCCTCCTCCCCCCCCATCTCCACCCAGGTTGGGAGGTAAAACTCTGCAGATAAACTTTTGAACTCTGGGGCTGCCCTGACCAAGGACAGAGACTTTTGGGTTGTGGAACTTTGGGTGATTTTGGGTTGCTGGACTCAAGAACCAAAGGGAAAGGACATGCCCCTTTTTTTGCTTGGGGTGGGTTTTAATCATGGGTTGTGTTATGAATCCTGTTGGTGGTGTTTCCCCCAACATAATGCCACATTGTTTCTCTCTGTTATTAAAAGGCTTTTGCTACACTCAGACTATGTGCTTGCAAGAGGGGAGGCGCCCAGCGCGGGTGGTATATATTTGTCCCAGGTCACTGGGTGGGGGCTCAAGCCGGTTTTGCATTGTGTTATTGGAATGGAACCCCTAGATACTGAACCCTTGTTGCTGCCAACTCTGACGGGCAGAAGGGTTACACAAGCAAGCTGTGATCAAAGCGGGGAGGGCGGGTGGCTGACAGAGAATTTAGAGGCAACTAAGGGGGCAGGTTTTCATCAAGGAGAAACAAATAGAAGTGTCACACAGTACCCTGGCCAGTCATGAAACTGGTTTTCAAAGCTTCTCTGATGCGCAGCACTTCCTGCTGTGCTCTTCTAACTGCCCTGGTGTCTAACTGCGCGTATTCAGCGGCCAGGCAATTTGCCTCAACCTCCCACCCCGCCATAAACATCTCCCCCTTACTTTCACAGAGATTGTGGAGCACACAGCAAGCAGCAATAACAATGGGAATATTGGTTTCGCTGAGTTCTGACGGAGTCAGTAAACTGCGCCAGAGACCCTTTAAATGTCCAAATGCACATTCTACCACCATTCTCCACTTGATCAGCCTATAGTTGAACAGCTCCTTACTACTGTCCAGGGTGCCTGTGTACAGCTTCATAAGCCAGGGCATTAAGGGGTAGGCTGGGTCCCCAAGGATAACTATAGGCATTTCAACATCCCCAACTGTTATTTTCTGGTCTGGAAAGTAAGTCCCTTGCTGCAGCTGTTCATACAGACCAGAGTTCCTGAAGATGTGAGCGTCATGTACCTTTCCCGGCCATCCCACGTTGATGTTGGTGAAACATCTCTTGTAATCCACCAATGCTTGCAGCACCATTGAAAAGTACCCTTTTTGGTTTATGTACTGGCTGCCTTGGTGGTCCGCTCCCAAGACAGGGATATGTGTTCTATCGCCCCACCACAGTTAGGGAATCCCATTGCAGCAAAGCCATCCACTATGACCTGCATATTTCCCAGAGTCACTACCCTTGATAGCAGCAGCTCAGTGACTGCATTGGCTACTTGGATCACAGCAGCCCCCACAGTAGATTTGCCGACTCCAAATTGATTTCCAACTGACTGGTAGCTGTCTGGCATTTCAAACTTCCAGATGGCTCTTGCCACTCGCTTGTGAACTGTGAGGACTGCTCTCATCTTGGTATTCTTGCGCTTCACGGCAGGGGAAAGCAAGTCACAAAATTCCATGAAAGTGCCCTTACGCATGTGAAAGTTTCGCAGCCACTGAGAATCATCCCAGATCCGCAATACTATGCGGTCCCACCACTCTGTGCTTGTTTCCCAGACCCAGAATCCGTGTTCCACGGCATGAGCCTGCCCCAGTAACACCATGATCTCCAAATTGCTGGGGACAGCAGCAGTTTGAGAGAAATCAGTGTTCATGTCCTCATCACTGCGCTGCCATCACCTCCTCGCATGGTTTTTCAGGTGCTGGTTCTGCATAAACTGCACGATAATGTGCGAGGTGTTTACAATGGTCATAACTGCTGCAGTGAGCTGAACGGGCTCCATGCTTGCTGTGCTATGGCGTCTTCTCAGGCAATCCAGGGAAAAGGGCGCGAAATGATTGTCTGCTGTTGCTCTGACGGAGGGAGGGGCAACTGACAACATGGCTTACAGGTTTGGCTTACAGGGAATTAAAATCAACAAAGGGGGTGGCTTTGCATCAAGGAGAAACAGAATGGCCCCCTCAAGGATAGAACTCAAAACCCTGGGTTTAGCAGGCCCTTGATTTCATGGAGGGAGGGAGGAGAAAATGAATACAAAACAAATCTGGTCTATTTCTTGTTTTGATCCACTTCATCTATCTTTATACATCTTGCTGGCAGCAGATGGTGCAGTACAACTGCTGGCCATCATCATCTCCTGGGTGCTCGGCAGAAGACGGTGCAGTAGGACTGCCGGCAGGACTGAATCGCCATGAGACAAAAACTTAAAAGGGAAATGACCTGGCTGAGTCACTCCCATGTTTGCCCAGGCACCCCTGACCGACCTCACCGAGGTCGGCTAAAAGAGCACCCTGGAGTACGGCAACGATAGCTACCAGTCATACTGCACTGTCTGCTGCCAAAAGGCAATGAGCTGCTGCTGTGTAGCAATGCAGTACCACGTCTGCCAGCACCCAGGAGACATACAGTGACAGTGAGCTGAGCGGGCTCTATGCTTGCTGTGGTATGGCATCTGCATGGGTAACCCAGGAAAAAAGGCACGAAACGATTGTCTGCCATTGCTTTCACAGAGGGAGAGAGGGAAGAGGGGGCCTGACGATATGTACCCAGAACCATCCGCGACAACATTTTTGCCCCATCAGACATTGGGATTTCTACCTAGAAATCAAATGGGTGGCAGAGACTGTGGGAACTGTGAGATAGTTACCCACAGTGCAACGCTCCGGAAGTCGACGGTTGCCTCGGTACTGTGGACACACTCCGCAGACTAAATGCACTTAGAGCATTTGTGTGGGGACACACACAATCGACTGTATAAAAATGCTTTCTGCAAAACCAAATTCTATAAATTCGACCTAATTTTGTAGCGTAGACATGGCCTTAGACCTGCTCTATTTGGGGAATTTTTTTCAGATTAACTTTGGGGGTGGCATAAACTGCCTTGTGTCCACACACAAAATTCTCCCCTCCTCAATTTCTCTAACATTTTACTCCACATTAATTAATCCATTTTGGAAGATCTAGTTAATTCAGTCAGATTCATGTGGATGTATCCTTAATTCAGAATAACTACTCTTCTTCTAGCCGTCCTCCCACTGCTATCCCACATTGCACTGCTTCACACTTGGATCGGACTGTCTGTTTACGTGTGTGCTCTCTATTGTGCTGGGTTCATCATAACCCAACATCACCTTCCCATTTAAATGCTGGCAAGCAGGCAGGTCCCGTCATCCCACCCACCCACCCACCCATGAGATTCAAGCTTGTGAGTTCACACACCTAGTGTCACATGCCCATTACAGACAATCATCAAGTGATCCATCCCCTGTCATCCAGTCCCAACTTCTTGTGAACAGAGGCTAGGGACACCCAGAGCATGGGGTTTCATCCCTGACCATCTTAGCTAATAGCCATTGATGGACCTAATCTCCATCAATTTATTTAGTTCTTTTTTGAACCCTGTTTACTTCTGGCCTTTATAACAAGTTCCACAGGTTGATTGTGCGTTGTGTGAGGTACTTCCTTTTGCTTGTTTTAAACCTGCTGCCTATTAATGTCTTTGGGTGATCCCTAGTTCTGGTGTTATGAGAAGGAGTAAATAATACTTCCTTATTCACTTTCTTCACACCAGTCACAATTTTGTAGACCTCTATCATATTCCCTATTAGTCATCTCTTTTCCAAGATGAACAGGCCCAGTCTTTTTAATCTCTCCTCATATGGAAGCTGTTCCATACTCTTAAGCATTTTTGTTGCCCTTCTTTGTACCTCTTCCAATTCTAACATCTTTTTGGAGATGGGGTGACTAGACCTGCACATAGTATTCACGGTGTGGGCATACCATACACTGTGGGGTGTCAGGGAGCTAGTACGCAGCCAACCGCCAGCAAGTCTCTCTCTCTCACTGATGCAGAAGGTTAACAAAATGACTCTCAGTACTGGGCCCTCTGAGAGACCATCACACCCACAGAATGTCTCCAGCTAAATGACAAAAAAGCCTGCTTTGGGAGCTTGCCACTGGGCTAATCAGAAGGTGCTTCTCTACCCCCAGGATTTTTGCAGACTTCTACATCATAGAATACTAAACTGCATCACATTTCACATTATTCAGCATCATATATTAAAATATAAATTAAAGCTAAAATATCTATCAAATGGGATATGTATGCAGATTTCTTTATTAAACTTTTTACCATATCTATGTACATTTAATCATTTTTGTTTTTAAATTCTGGACCAGGATTAAAATTTCCTCTTTCTACACCAGTCTTTAAAAACTGGCAAGACACCCCAATGGACTTACATGCCCAAACTGTATTCCAATTTCCCTTTATTCTACTTACTCAAAGTAACATATTTCTTGGCAACTTTTTATATTTATTAGAAATTAGCACCTTTTAGCTTAAGCTGTACTAGAAACTCTTAATTTTAATGAAGTCTTGCCCAAATGAATTGCTCAGCATACACAAGTGCAAACAAACAAAAATTGTAAAAATAGTTCACACGGACATCATTTGTAAATTATGAAGGAAGTTTAGGTTGCAGGGAATAGCAGTATCACACAAACCCCTCCTTTCCAGCAGGATTTGACAATGTATGTCCTTCCTCAACACACACATCTGTAGCACCATCATCCCCTCTTGCCCCCATCTCTGTTACCTTGAAAACAGATTTAGGGTACTCCCAGAATAAGCTCACCTATTGCCCCCCTCGAGTTCATCAAGAGTTCCCTAAAAACAATTCAATATTAACCAATCTGTTTTCCTAAGGTATGGGTCTCCAGGGGAGCTAGGAAATACGTGGAGGACACAGATACATGATTGACACAAGCAGTATTCTTTTCCAAAACAAGGCACCTTTTTATTGGTGCAAATAATAAGAATCCCTAATACAATAACAAACTAACAATCCCCTTATTGATGTTATAAACACAAATCCCTTATAACAAGTGAAAGAGCACCCCAAACCATACTACCTTACTGTTTGAAATGATTCTAAGTGGTTGCACCCTGTTACAGATGGCCAGTCTGTCACAGATTGCTAACAGCAATTTTTAAATGGTTTAAATCTCATACATTTCTTTCACTATCAACACACACTCATACATCTTTCTTAACCCAGAAATATACATGTACTCACTAACACTATACTATACTGTCCTATACTATACTATAATTATAATTGACAGGTTTACTCTGTCTGCTGACACAGGACTCCTTCTGCTGCCACTGTTGCTGCTGCCTTCTTGCTTGCTTCTTCAGGACTCCTCTTGTCCACTCTTCTCTCCTCAGCTCTATCTGCACTGGCTGCTACCCACTGACACATCGACTTTTATACTGTCCTGTCAAAACATTCTAGATGCCTTTTTCCCCCCAGTGTACTACACTCCCGTTTGTTTGAATGGCCTGGCGTTTGTTGTGATCTTTACTGCACATGCTCAATACCAACATTCCACAAATGCTCAGGACTGTTGTTTACCTGAGAATTATGATCTGCTGACCTTTCCCCTACTTTTGCACATACTCCATAAATATCATGTGACCTGCAGCTTCCAATAGTGGAGTGACTTGCTTATTCAAAATGGTGGTCAGGAATACAAAATGAAGTCTGAGTAATTTCTCTGCTATCATCTCCTCCTTCTCAAAACAATTAAGCATATATTCAAGCCAAAGAGCAGACTATTTTATAAATATGCCACATTTAGCATATTGGATTTAATAAATAAAATACAAACAACAATGGAGCATTAGGGAAACCTATATTTTAAGTCTTTGAGAGGCAGTAGCTACAAATAAAATGTCCTTAAGATTCAATGTATTTTATATGCTTTAGCAGTACATATTTTGCATTATTAACTTACTTGGCACATTTAGCAAAATACAAAAAATAAATAAAAATAATGAAACAGACACAAACATCCACATTCACACACTTACCAAGACTTTTGAAGGTAACATGAAAAAACAGGGCATGAGGATAAGAGCTGCCCAGGATTTTAGGAGACATTTTCATGACTGTTTGAAATTTTTATTTAGTGAAAATTTTGTATCCATTCTTTGTTAGTTGTCATGCTTTAACAAGGGTAAATGCATATAATACATAAGGCATTACTTTCCCACTGTTATTTTTCTAGTCACTTTTTCACAGAAGGGCAGAAATACTAAATATATACATTGGAGCCCCACAGAATAGCAGTGACTAAACACCTAAAAGCAAGATGGGGAGCAAACACATTGAGAGAATTGTGCTGTGACACTGCTGCAAAAAGCCAAAGCCAGACCCTTTCAACTCATAAAAAAAGCCCTGTGATATAATGAAAATGTATCAACGTCTTTACATTTGTACCAATATTTTACAGAGCTATCTGCAAAACAATTACTTTCCCGCCCATTTTATTTATCACCACACTGAAGCGGCCTTACAGAATTAATTGCCCTGTGCAGATATAAAACTTTACATTGTATACAGCCTTTAAAACTTCTAGCACCTCCCCAAACCCCTCTCATATACCCCTCTCATATAATCTCAACATCATAATCTCAAAATCATAATCTCAACATTATGATTTTGTCTTACCGAAACAAAATGAAAATGACAATACGTTTAAAAGAGAGACTATCCCAACTTGGAAAAAAAAATAGCATTAGCTTGTTTTTAAAATTTTGCCTAAATGAATTGCCCAGTATGAAGAAACACCAACCAGATAAAAACTTCTCTAAATCTCTTTACAAATACAGGACATAGAACTTTTAATAAGCTCATCATTTTGTGAATTGTGAAGAAAGTTTTAAATTCTGGGATACTGTATTAAAAAAACCCACCCACTCCCACATTTATAAGGGGATTTCACAGTCAACACATACAATTTTAAAAGACAAGAACGGAGATAAAATCTCCAGCCTGGCACTGACATCTAAAGAAACATGCCTATTCATGCCTACCCCACACCCCACCTCTTCTTTACCTGACTTATTTTTTCTTCAACTACCATCTTCTGTTAACCACATGATTTTTAATCACATCAAATAAAATTTTAAAATACAAACTATCATAACTTTTTAAAAGTTTAACATGAAAAAAACAGGGTATAGGGGTAAGAGAGCTGGCCCAGATTTTAGGGAAAATTTGACAATTATTTGAAATACTTTTTAGTGAAAGTATGCATTCTTTGTTAATTGTCAGGCTTTAGCATGGGCATTTGTCACACAGCAGCTCTCCCCAGCTTCATGAAGCTTTATTCCCCCTATTGCTTTGCCAATCTTTCTAATCTTTGTCCTGGCCTATCAGAAATAGTAACAATAAATAAATAAAATAACAGTAACAAAATCATTGGCAGGATTACATACTTGGTGATACTCTGTGGTGGTATTTCTGCAGAGCAACAACTCCTTTGCTGTTTTTTTTTTTTTATCATTATCACATTGAAGAAGTCCTAAAGAGTCAAGTTTTCCCTGTTCTTATATAACACTTCACATTTTACTTTTACACAATGTGTCACCTCAGGCTAGTCTACACTAGAAGTGCTGCAGCAGCACAGCTGCACCGATACAGCTGCGCTGCTGTAGCACATCCGGTAAATACACTCGTATGTCGACGGGAGAGAGCTCTTCCATTGGCAGAATAAAACCAGCTCCACAAGAGGTAGCAGACACCGGCACTTAGGATGGTGTAACTTATGTTGCTCAGAGGGGTGGCTTATTCACACACCTGAGTGACATAAGTTACACTGACAGAACTGGTAGTGTGTACAAGTCCCTAGATATTTTACAATGTCAAATAATACAAGACAGTAGATGACAGAAGTGAGAAATTACAGAAAACTGTGTTATGGTGAGTACAAGTGTAATGCAGAGAGACTAAGGGGAAATTAAAAGGCATAGTTGAAGCAGAAAAAGGTGTAATTGAAGAGATTTTAAGCAAATGGGAGCCAGCTGGTTCAGGGTATACCACTTCCCATAACCCCCCCCCCCCCATACAAGCACCTAGGGCCCTTTTCAGGGGAACGGGTGTGTATGCCTTTTGTTTTTAAATGAACGGTAACTTTCCAACAACTATAAAAATACAAAACAAAGTGTTCAAACATCTTCACCCTCACTCCTTCCCTTTTTACAACTGTCTCTGTCCCACTATGCACTGATCAAAAGTTTCTCCTTACCTTGGAGGAGACCAGGCCTTTTAAAGCATTGTCCCCAAAACTATTGGCTAAGAAAGTAATATGCAACCATCATATAAAAGAGGACACGCCATTCAAAAAGGTCTGTGAGTTAAAGATGGAGGTTTCTCACAGTCCCTTGAATTAAGCCTCGCCAGCTCTGGCACTCAAACAGCTCATGAAGAGACACCAGACAGAGGAAACTGTGGGAACAGAAGGAACCAATATACTCTTGGCACAACCAGTGCGTGCCACTCTGGAAGCATGTCATGGGAGCAGGCCAACAGGGAGAGCACCTGATGAAGGTTATCAAGACAGTGCAGAGGGGGAGCATGAGGCCAGACTGCTGACCCAGCTTTGGTTTAACACTCCAGATCCCAACCAGGAGACCCCAGTTCAAACAGAGTGGGGTGGGTTGGAGAGGGCTGGTAACAGGACCTGGCCATGCTAGCTCAGTGGACTCTCATGTTCAGCTTCCAGCTGAAAGGTCAATGGAGTGAGACCATCCCAAGGCAATTAAGAAAAAAAAAAAAAAAAAAAGCTGTGACCTGAAGAGGTCTCTTGACACACAAAGGAAAGGTTTTCAAGCACAGTATAAAAACTAGTATGATGCCTTATCTGCGTTTCTTATTTTAAATCTCTCAGCAGCTGAGTGATGGTTCTTTAGAGGCCTGGGAGAATGTGACCACCAAAAGCCATGAAGAAACAAACAGTTTGGGCCTGGCCTGCTTTTGCCCTGGCCCAAAACCGGATGCTCTGTAGGCAAGGGTGCAGAAACAATTTTTATAGTAAGGGTGTTGAGAGCCATTGAATCAAACTGTAAGCCCTGTATATAATGGAAACCACTTCAAGCCAAGGGGTGAGGCAGCACCTCCAGAACCCCGACGTCCATAGGATACCAAAAAAGAAGGGGATGCTGATTCTATAGACACGTACTATCTAACTCTGAGAAAGAAATCTGGCATGGAGGCTGTGCTAACCCATAACTGGTCAAACTTTTGCTTTTGATTGTACAAGTTGCCATAAGCAGAACCATCACACATTGTCTGAAAGAGAAACAGTCTGAGAACTGCTGAGATTGTGTCATAGATGCCCCAGGCCAAAGCAGCCATGACTGTGAGCTGGACTGCACATGATGTGAACCAAAAACTCTCAAATATTTGTCCCTGTTTAACCCAGGAATATTGTGCTCAAGCAGTAGAGTAGGTGAACAACATGACAGATGCTAGAGACCCAGATAAAGTATTGGATGAAATAATAAGAGCCTCAGGTAAATGCTTAATGCAGAATCTTGAATTTCTTCTTCCTTCAGCAAATTACAAAACCCTGTTTAGAAGAAGAAAAAAAAAGAACTGTTTGTAAAATACCTAAGTTAGAGGGTACTTTGGGAACAAAACTGCTGATGCAAAAATAAAATAAAATAAAATAAAATAAAATAAAAGTGTGGTGGGGACGGGGGTCGTAAATACAATGTCAGTTGCAAATGCCTGTGTGAAGCATGTTTTTCATGGGACACTCCATTGGAGTCCCTGTTCACATGAAGAGATCGGCACTGAGCTACTCAGCTCCTCGTGCAAATCCTACGAAAACACAGACCCATGCATACAGCATCTGAGGCACTGGTTTGCCCCTAGCAGACCAGGAAGCAACTTGAAGATAAGAACCGAGACCTGAACTTGATTCAATATTCTATGGGAAGCCAGAGTAGAGACCGAGGGCAGGCCTGAGTTGTCCATGCATAGCCTTTGTCCAGAGAAGTGCTGCAGTGTTCTGTACTAGCTGGAGTTTCCTAAGTGCTGACGCTTTTGTGCCCAGGTCCATAGCACTGCTGTAGTCCAGCCAACAGGTGACAAAGGTATGAACAACTACTGAGGCCAGCTTATTGTCCACCAGGATGGGACAGAGTTTCCTAGCCAACTAGAGATGAGAGAAAGCATTACTCACAGGGGCAGCTATGTGAGCGCTTAGTGCCAACAAGGAATCCAAGAGTCCTCCCACACTACACAGGGAACTGGCCACTTGTGGGTAAATGATTTAGATGTAGGAGCTGATCACAGGATGTTCAGAGCTTTCTGAGATGTAATAATCAAATCCCATTACAACGTGGAAATCTTATCTCAGCCTCCTGCTCTGTACAACTCTGTCCCAGGAAGGTGGTTCCATTCTCTGCTTTGATAACCATTACATGTCCCCATTACACGACCACTCCAGCCTGGCCTGACTCGCTGAGACTGTGGGAACCAGCAGAGGTATCATTCACTTGGCCCATCCCTAGTTAGAACACTTCTGCGGTTTCTCCCCTGTGTGGACTCTCTGATGTGAAAAAAGGTAGGTGCTACGAGTGAAGGTTTTCCCACACTCGGTGCACTTATAGGGCCGCTCTCCCGTGTGGGTTCTCTGGTGTATAATAAGGTCTGAACGCAGACAGAAGCCTTTCCCACACTCGGGGCATTTGTAGGGCCTCTCTCCCGTGTGGGTTCTCTGGTGTTTTCTAAAATGAGATCGATCGCTGAAGGTTTTTGCACAGGTCAGGCATATATAAGGTCTCTCTCCCGTGTGGGTTCTGTGGTGTGTAACCAGGTATGAGCGCCTCCTGAAGCTTTTCCCACACTCAGGACACTTGTAGGGCATCTCTCCTGTGTGGATTCGCTGGTGTGTATTAAAATGTGACTTGTCACTGAAGCTTTTCCCACAGTCGGGGCATTTGTAGGGTCGCTCTCCCGTGTGGGTTCTCTGGTGTATAACTAGGTAAGAGTTCCGACTGAAGCTTTTCTCGCACTGTGGGCATTTGTAGGGCTTCTCTCCTGTGTGGATCCTCTGGTGAGTCTTAAATTGAGATCTATCACCGAAGCATCTCTCGCAGGTCAGGCATTTGTAGGGTCTCTCCCCAGTGTGGGTTCTCTGGTGAATGACAAGGTGTGAGCTCTGACTGAAGCTCTTCCCACACTCAGGGCATTTGTAGGGTCTCTCTCCCGTGTGGGTTCTCTGATGGGAAGTAAGGAGGTGGTACTGAGGGAAGCTTTTCCCACAGTCAGTGCATATGTAGGATTTCTGCCCCAAGTGGATTCTCTGGTGAAGATTGAGATCTGAGCTCTTGCTGAAGCTCTTCTCACAGTCCGGGCACTTATAGGGGTTCTCTCCCATGTGGATTTTCTGGTGAATAATAAGAACGGATCTCCAACGGAAGCTCTTCCCACACTCACTACAGGTGAAGGGTCCCTCTCCAGCAGGGATTTTCGGTTGAACAATATCTCTGATTTCCTCTACCCTTCTGCTCCTCTGAATGGATTTACCCCATCTACCCCCTGGCTGGTTTCTCTGCTGCCTCTCTGGCCTGTGCTGCCTCTCACAGGCTTCTCCCTGCTCAGGACTCTGCGAAACATGCCCTTTGGCATTTTCTGATACCATCGTGTATGGTTCTACTTGATCAGGACCTTCCTGCTGAAGATTTTCCTCGTTGTTTCCACTCACCGTCCTGTTACCTGCTGGACAGAGAGAGAATCCAGACAGAAATCACTCCCTGTGTCGGGGAGACAGAGAACAGCAGAAAGAGGTATGGCACAAGGGGGAATATACCCCAACGACTACTGGGGACCAATAAAATAGGAACTGAATCACCTCACAAACCCTTCCCCAGAGGGGAGAGAGCTGATGACCAATTCCATCTCCTTGTCCCATCTGAATATTGATGAGGGCAGCAGCTATAGGTTTACACAGAACTTGTGAAACTGCCCAAGGATAAAAATATTGGTTTCTGAGTCAATTTAGTTGCCACCTCACCTGTGTGAATGTTTCTCAGGATCTCTTTTTCCTCGTAACCCTGGAGATCAGGGACCCATGGTTTCTCCTCACATTCCAGCCGGGAGATCATGTCAGATTTGGAAATTGGAAATCCTGCTTGGGGGGGGCAAGAAAACCAGTGTTGATCTTGTTCATTAGGGTAAGAGCTGTTACTACTTCAAGATCCATGTTCTAAGTAGCAAAACCCAGAAAGGCTCCTTCCTCTCCCTCCCACAACTCTACAGGGACTTGGCTGTACATTGTAAAAGATCCCATGAGGCACTGTTCTGGAGCAAGGGTTCAACCACTCTGCCTAGGGAATGGCCCTAACTTATTCCCATGAGAAGTTGAGCATAGTTGCTATGCTCTTTAGGTATCTGGGGTACAACCAAGTCTCCATCGCTGTCAATTATAACCCCTCCATCCCTTCCCCCCACCCCACCCCACCCACACATACCTCCACAACACAAACCAGAGCAGGAAAACCTTAAGGGCTGGTAAAAAAAATCCATACCCCTGAATGACTTAGTTAAGCCAACCTAAGTCTCCGTGCAGACAGCATTGGGTTGATAGAAGAATTCTGTCGATCCAGTAACCGTCTCTCAGGGAGGTAGATTAACTATAGCAATGGGAAATCCCCTCCCATTGCTGTAGTACATGTCTACACTGAAGCACTACAGCAGTACACCTGCAGCTGTGCTGCTGTAGCGTTTTTAAGTGTAGACACAGCCTTAGGGAACCAAAAGGGATACATTCAGGAAATGGAAGTAGGGGCATGTCTCCAAGGAAGCATATATGTAAATAGCACAAGCATGTGGGGACAAACTCAGGAAAGCCAAGGCAAAGAATGAGTTACAGCTGGCAAGGAATGTTAGAGACAAACAAGAAGGGATTGTATAAATATGTCAGGCAAAAAAGAAAGATCAAGGACAGCGTGGGTCCACTGCTCAATGGAGAAAGTGAGCTGGTAACGGAAGATGATAGGAAGGCAGAGCTGCTCAATGCCTACTTTTCTTCAGTCTTCTCACAAAAAATAACATGGATGATTAGTGAAGTTACCATAGACAATAAAGGGGAAGGGCTGCAGATCAGAATAAGTAAAAAACACGTCAGAGATCTTCTGCCAATTAGAATGAAATCAAATCAGCAGGGCTGAATGCTATTCACCACAGGCTGCTGAATGAATTAGCTGAAGAAATCTTGGGAGTCACTGGCAATAACATCTGCAAACTCATGGATGACAGGAGAGGTCCCAGATGACTGGAGCAGGGCTAACGTAGTGCTTATCTTTAATGGGAGGTCTATACTACGGCAGGGATTGACACTCTGAGATCGATCCACTGGCGGTCAATTTAGTGGGTCTAGTAAAGACCCGCCAAATCGACTGCAGATAGCTCTCCAGTCAACCCCGTACTCTGCCGCTGATGAGAAGAGTAAGGTAAGTCGACCCATTGACACACCCCCCCGTGGTGTAGACCCAGCGATAACTTGACCTAAGGTACGTCAACTCCAGCTACATTATTCACGTAGCTGGAGTTGCATAGCATAGGTCAACTTACCACAGAAATGTAGACATAGCCTGAAAAGGGGAAAAAAGAGGAGCCGGGGAACTATAGACCAGTCAGCCTGACTTCGATACCTGGGAAGTTACTAGAGCAATGTATAAAACATTCAATTTGCAAATACCTGGAGCATGAAGGGGTGATCACTAGCAGCCAGCATGGATTTACCAAGAAGAAATCATTCCAAACCAGCTTGATTTCCTTCTGTGACAAGGTAACTAGTTTGGTGGATGGGAGAATGTGGTGGACATAATATACCTGGACTTCAGCAAGGCTTTTGACACAGTCCCACATGACAATCTGATAAGTAGGCTGAAGAAATGTGAGCTTGGTGGCACTACCATTAAGTGGATACATAATTGGTTAAACAACCACAAACAAAAAGTAACTATTAATGGAATGATGTCAGATTGGAGGGAGGTCTCAAATGGTGTTCAACAGGGATCTGTTCCAGGCCCGGTGTTGTTTAACATCTTTATTAATGGCCTGGCTGTAGGTATAGACAGCATGCTGATCAAATGGGCAGATGATACAACGTGGGGAGGGAGAGAGTTGCCAACACTTTGGAGGACAGAGCTAAAATTCAGAGGGATCTTGATAAATTGGAGAACTGGGCTATAGACAACAAAATGAAATTCAACAAAGACAAATGTAAGGTGCTACACTTAGGGAAGAGAACCCAAATGCACAAATACAGAATGAGGGATAACTGGCTTGGCAGCAGCACTGCTGAGAAGGATCTGGGAATTGTGGTGGATCACAACCTCAACACAAGTCAGCAGTGTGATGCTGTTGCAAAAAAAGCAAAGCAATTTTAGGTTGCATTAACAGAGGCATAGTGCAAGTCACGGGAGGTGATAGTACAGCTCTATTCAACACTGGTTAGGCCTCAGCTGGAGTACTCTGTCCAATTTAGGTCACCAATGTATAGAAAGGATGTGGAGAAACTGGAAAGGATCCAGAGGTGAGCGATCAAAGGGATGGAATGCAAACCATATGAGCAAAGGCTGAAGGAACTGGGTACATTTAGTTTGGAAAAGAGGAGATGAAGGAGGGACATGGCACTGGTCTTCAATACTTGAAAGGTTGCCATAAAAAAAAAGATGGAGAAAAGTTGTTCTCTCTTGTCACAAAGGGCAGGACAAGAGGTGGTGGGTTCGAACTACAGCATAGCAGATTAAGGGTACCCTTACAGAGTTTTTGCACTGTAAGTTTCACTGGTGATAGGGAACCGGTGAAAGTAAAGCACTGGTTTGTGTACTCACTCAATTCCTCAGGCATCAGAGAGTGTTTACACTACCAGCACTTCCATCGCCAATGAGAACAGCGCTATCCCACAGTGCAGCTCCCTTGATAGGTCTCGTAGGAAGGGGGGGGGGGGTGAGCGGAGGGCATGCTGGGTCCCTGCCCAGTGCCCTGTGCTGCCCTGCTTCATGTCCCAGTAGCCCCATGACTTCCTTGTTTCTTTCGTGGCATTTTTTTTAAAACCCCCTGCTGTCTGGCTGCTGTCCCTGCCATATCTACAAGCAAAGGGAAAGAGAGCTTCAAACTTCCCGGGGCTCACAGAGGGAGGGGCGGACGTCCGTTTACTTGGCGTCAGAGCAGCGGAGATGCTGGCCAGAGTGGTCACTTTTGGAACTGTGGGATATCCTTCGGAGGCCAAAAGGTATTTACACTAGTAGAATGTGTCTTCATTTTCACAACAGCACAAAAAGAACAGCGGTAAGAGTTAGATGCCTCTCGTGAAGGTGGTTTTCTTTTTGTGGTGAAACTTCTGAGTTTCACCGCAAAAGGTCATTAAGAAGTGTAGAAGCTCCTGTGGTTTTAACACAAAAAAGGGACTTTTTGCACTTTAAATGGTAAGTGTAGACATAGCCTTAGACTAAATCTCAGGAAAAAATTCCTAACTGTAAGAACAGAAGGAAAATGGAACCGATACCTCGGGAGGTTGTGGAAGCTCCTTCATTGGAGGTTTTCAAAAGGAGGCTGGATAGCCATCTGTCTTGGATGGTTTAGACACAACAAATTCTGCATCTTGCCAGGGGGTTAGACTAGATGACCCTTGCAGTCCCTTCTAACCCTATAATTTAGACTGTGAGCTCTTTGGGGTGGGGACTCTCTCACTGTGTATCTGTGCAGTGCCTAGCTCAAGGGGGCAGTGACCCCTGATTGGGGCCTTTAGGTGCTGCCCAAATATGAGTCGCCAAGAAATAAACAGAGGAAATGCCACCTAGGGCCTGGAAAGAAAATCACTAGACACCTGCCCTCAGTCTGGCACAGACAGCAAAAAGCTTCCTGTCATGGGTTCATGATGGAAGAGCACAAGGGCACATCCAATGGCTGGTCAATGGTCATTCAGAACCTTCCCATGACCCATGAGCCCTGTTCTGCCCCTGCAGAGTCCTGAGTCCGAGTGCAGTGTGAAATACAAAGACCAGCCTTCCTCTCTCTTTCCCCCCAATGCACACTAAATTCGTCCGGACCTTGCTCAGCCCCATGACACTGCTCCATGCCCTTCCTGGCTGGTGGCAGAGTGTTGAGAACATCTGGGGCCTCCCACTAACAAAGCTGGCTGAGGCACACCACAGACAAGATGGAGAAGTGCATCTGAAAATTGCCCACTGGGGACCTGGGCAGAGCCGAGTCATGAGACACTTGTCTATCTCAGAGGCTCCAAAGGACGTTAGCCCTGGGAACAGGAGGAGACAGTGAGTTTGTCCCACTTGCAAACCTTGGTTATAGGAAGGCTAGCATCATTGTTACGTCCCTGCATCTTCTTTCCTGGGGATATGGAGGGGCCAGTCTCATACACAGGGGATCTGGGGCTGTCATGTGAAATCTGGGGGACCAGTGAAGAACCATGCACAGAAACTGACAAAGATGCTCCAGAGGCACACAGTCCTCCCCCACAGCCCCACAACACACACACACACTTTCTAATACTCAAGGGGACAGGAATCCTTACCCAGCGAGGTCACAGTCTCATAATTCTCCTGCATGACGCCCCAGTAAAATGCTCTCTGACTCAGGTCCAGCAGAGCCCACTCTTCCTCCGTGAAATACACAGCCACTTCCTCAAAGGTCACTAGTTCTATTGCAGACATTTCCCTTCCCTTCCCTCTGGGGGATGGGACAATCTGGACTTGGATGTTACTCTGCAGCCTGTCAGGGTTAGAAGGACAATTAGTCACCCCAGGTTCTTTCTATGCGCACACATTCTAGACTCTGCCATGTGGGGAAACAGTTCCACAAAGATTTTCAAAATCAGCAACATCAACTTAGTCCCAAAATCAGTGCTTAATTTGCGTCAGGGCTGAGCCCCGGCACCTCTAGCCTTGGCAGTTCATAGACCTGGCACCTCTGGCCTTGCTGCATCAGTTATAAATGTAAAAATATTGCTTGAGCCCCAGCACCTCTTACATTACAAATTAAGCACTGTCCAAAATCCACATTCATTTCTCTCAATAAGTCTTCTGAGATTCCAGAATGCTCAGCCAGCAACATTGGAATTCAGTTCTGAATACCTTTTATTCAGGTGCCCGAACATGGATTTAGAAATCTACCTTTAGGCTCTTGTATTTCAAGACACTGGCTTGGTCACTTTATTCCAGTGCAGGTGCCACCTCTCCCACCAGGGCTAATCTGATTGAGACATTGTTAAAACCTCTGGGTAACAGAGATTTAAGTGAAGTCATTGGGACCACTCACGTGGCCAAAGACAAGCATATAAGCAAATGTTTACCAGATCAGATCTGAAGTTAGTACAAATCATATCAAAAAGAAAAAAAGTCAGTGTGTACGCACAATGGAGATTTACCAACCCTTATAACAAAGCAATTTCAAAACAGGTCTTTCCATATTACAGAGATGAGAGTGTCTCAGCCAGAAATTCAGTCAAATGTAGTTTCTAGCCAAACGTTTTTAACATGCAAGGGCTGTTGAAAATTTGATCAAACTTTTTTATGCATGGTGCTTCTTTCCCTTCCTGCCCCATCTCAAAAAATGGCTGAGTGTCTTTTCCTCAATATTTCTACAATAAATTCACCCCAGACAGAAATTTTCAACCCTAAAGACGAGCAGAAGATTTGCCAAAGTGAATCAGACCCAAGGTCCATCTACTAATTCTGAGCATGTTATAAGCAAAGGAACTGGTCCCTTCAGGCTGAAGTTGTGCAGCCAAAGAGCATAATCCCAGGAGCCGCTTTGGGGAATCCCCCTAATACTGTCCTAAGGGCAGCGCATCCCCCCAGCAACAGAGGCAGGAACTGGCTTTTCCTCTCCCTGCCCCCCACCTTGTCCCAGGAAAGTCAATCTGCCCAGAGGTGCAGCAGGGAATGGGGCTGGGCAGGGCTGGGAGCTGGGAACCTCCCTCCCCACTGGCAGCTCCTGCTGCCCCTGCCCCTCCCCACCACTCGGGCTGGAAAACTCAGTCCCTGGCCCGGGGCCTTCGCTCTCCCGGCGCTGGCTCGGCTCCTGCAGGCGCTCAGGGGGGCAGAGCCCGGGTGGGGGGCAGCAGCTCCGGGACTCGCAGACCCCCGCCCCCCCGGGAGCAGAGCTGGGGCGAGGAGGGGCCGTTGGTGCAGAGTCACTTTCCCCCCCGGCCCCGGCTCTTTCCCCGGGTCTCTCCCCTCACCTGCAGGCTCCGGCTCAGGGGCTGGTGTCGGCAGAGCCCGGGGCTGCCCAGGGGCTGATTCCAGCCCCCGGAGAAAGTCCCCGCGGCTGGGCCCCGAGGGGCGCTGGGGAAGGGCTCTCCCCGCACACACCCCGCTGGGCAGCGGCAGCGGCTCAGCCCGGGCTCCCGGCTCACGATGGAGGCGGCGGCAGCGTCTGACCCGGGAAGCTCAGCCCCGGATCTGCGGGCCGAGAGCAGCAGCCTGGAGCCAGGCGGATGCTCAGTAACAGCTGCTGAAGCCGCTGCCCTCACTCTGCCCATACTACACCGGCCATCAAAGGGGGTAAAAAGGCGGGTGGGGGTGCAGGGTGCTCAGGGGAAGGCGAGGTGTGACGACACAAATCTCAAGCCTCCCCTTTTGCAGAAGAGGCCAAATCAGGGGCAGGGCGCAGGACCAGGGGTCGAGCACAGGGTCCAAGCGCTGCCGGAGGGGCCCCAGGATGCGGGCGGAGCGGATAGAAGTTATTGCAGACGGGGTGAGCTAGCTGCAGCAGGGGCTGCCAAACAAGGGGGTGGGGGGCTTGTGCTCCTAGCTGGCTGGAACGTGTCAGCTCTCCCTTCCCAAACCTGGGTGTTAAAGGCGCAGTGTCACCCAGTGCCTAGACAAGGCAGCTCTTCTCTGTCTGAAACGGCCGGTGTATTGACAGGTTTCAGAGTAGCAGCCTTGTTAGTCTGTATCCGCAAAAAGAAAAGGAGAACTTGTGGCCCCTTAGAGACTAACCGCTTATGCTCGAATAAATTTGTTAGTCTCTAGGGTGCCACAAGTTCTCCTTTTCTTTTGTTGGTGTATTGGTGTTTAAAAAAATTGTTTGGCAATTTCTGTGACTGTAACATGCAGACACCTCCAGCCTCATAGCAGTTCATTTGTTTGACTTATTGGAGTTCTGATTGCCAGGACTGGTCTCCCTTTCCTGTAATCCACTGTCAGTGTTGCTTCACTCCTTTTAATTATTTAATGTTTACAATTATTTTTGGCTCATTGTTTTTACTGCTCCAACATTTACTTTGGTTCACATTTTGTGCAGATGAATGGAATGTTGCTACTTTAATGTTTATAATAGCAAGTACTAATGAGTAATATAATTAAGATTAATATTAAATTATCAAATAGTTTAAGCAATCGCATCTCACAGTGAGTTCTAGTACAACACTTCCTGTGTTTTACTGTGATTTTGTAATATGCAATTTTTCTCCATAGTAAAAGTTTATTATTTGTGATCATATGACTACAGCTGACTGAGTTCTTGGGTTGTCATCAGTATACAGGAATTGCCATTTTCTTTGATCCAGTGAGGATTGCCTTTTTCAACTGTAGTTTTGCCTCTCTTTGCAGCACCCCTGTGCATTTTTCACATTGCACCACTTGTGTGTAGAACTAACTTCCCAATATATTCAGTAAGGGCACTGTACTATCCTGTATGAAATTCCTTTCAAAGGCAAATTTGCACTGTAATTTTTATTAAACATAGAAATACACTGTCAACAACCCTAAGAATTCAAAACTGTACTACTTGTGCACCAAAAATTATGAACTTTTTAAAAATAAATATATTTGGGGTTCTTTTTATCTGCCTTTTTGTTTCTGAACCTTTAGGGTGCACTTGTTCCATATTTGCAGGCTTTTTTGCTGCAGACATGAAGGGCTAGAAACATTTTTGTTGTTTTTGTTAAGGAAAGCTGAGTTGCTCAGACAATTCCTTGATTCCAGTGTTGTCCCTCTTCTCCTTCCCTAGGCAGTACGTTGTGACCCACCTTCCACGTGCCTGCACAAGGACTGTGGGTTGTGCAGGGGGCTGTGCTCCCCAGAGCATCCCTGTCCACTCCAGGGGAGGCATCAGGGTTCTCCAAAATCTGCTCTGGCTGCAGGACATGGCACCATGCAGGAGAGTCAACGGCAGGTGCAGTCACAGACATGATGGCTGGCACACCTACTGGTGGTGGAACTGAACCACCCCTGCTGCTAGCCCATGCATTCAGCATCTGCTCCAGGATCAATCAGTCCTGTTCCACATTCCTACACTCTTCTTCCAGGGACTTCTCCCTGCTCCCATTGTGTCCCGCTTCTTCTTCACCCTCTTGAACTCCAGACACTCTTTGCTCCTGCATGCAACAACCCTGAAAAGGTCCTCTATGTTCCTCAGTGTGGGCCAGTTTTAGGACCCAGCGCCCTGGGTGGGAGGCTTGGCCAAGCAGAAAGTGTCTGCCAGTGGAATGAAACAGACAGCATATTAATTGTATTGCTGCGAGGAAAAAAAAAAAAAAAGAATCCCCCCACTTTGCTTTCTCCATCTACACATGGCTGCGGGTTGCAACATTTTGAAATGTGTATTTAATCCTTTATGAATTCTCCTGTGCAGACCCTCCTATTTCTAGCATCAGGAGAGCCCCACCCACACACCATGATAAGGAACATTCATTTTATTTAAAAGAAAAAAAAGTGTTGAAAAAAAGCCACCCCTGGCTGAGGCAGGGCACAGTTACCAACTTGCTCTAACTTTGTTTCCGGCTGGGGAAGCCATAGAAGATATACATGGGTGGCAGGTATAATAGGCCAGGGGAGGCTAAGCCTCCCCAACCCAGGCTGTGTGGCCCCTCCCATGCTCCACCCTGAGGCCCCACCCTCACTCTCCCTCTCCCCAGAGGCTGTCGGAAGCTCAGCTTGGGCTGGCGGCCTGGAGCTTGGGGCTTGGGACAGCTGGTGGCCTGGCCCCAGGGGGGCTTGGGCTGGTGCTTGGGCCGGCCAGCAGTCCAGAGGTTGGGCCAGTGCTCGGGCTGGCCGGGGCATTGGTGCAGCTGGGACAAGTGGGCAGGCGCTCCTCTGGCTGTGGGGGGCTTGTGGCTCCAGTAGGCGAGGGGGGTGGAAGGGGTAGGATTTCAGGTGGGGCCAGGAGGCTAGCACCCCCGAAGGGGGGGGGTTTCACATGCCACCCATGAAGATCTACATCTTTTGGAAATATTAGAATGGAAGAAGGAAGTAGTTTTCCAGGTAAGTGGTGGGACCCCATTATCTAATGCAAAGGAGATATTTAGGTGGCTGAACAGCAAGTGAGCAAATGGAGTGGTTCTACTGGAGGGGGCTAGGGGGAGAGAGTTCTCTCTACCCAGACATCTGAACAATTGTTTGGAATTCCTGCTGTGGGGGGAAGGTGAATCAAGATGTTGGAGTAGGATTCAGAGTCTTGCAAGTGGCAGAGTGGATTCCCCTCCCCCTCATCTTCCCACCACAGCCTAGAAGTCCAGGAAGAGGCAGGAAGTAGGAAGAGGCAGCCAGCTAAGACTGTCTGCTGCATGAAATGTCATCTAAAGTCACCTGGCAGAAGTGGAGGAAAATCAGAACAATAAAATAACAGGCTGAGTGTATATCAAGCAATGAGGACCACAAAGAACTTCACCACTCTCTGAAACTCAATGGATTTATAAACCTGTGCTGTATGGGACTGTGCAGTTTGCTAGCCAAAGTCTAAGTGTAACATGACATTAGCATTCTTGAGTTACCACCAGCTGCGCTTGCAAAGACATGCACTCATACCTCCTAGGCCTATAAGCCTTTACTTGTTTTGCTAGCTATAATTGCAAACAGAGCTTGTCAGAGAAATTAGGGAGTTGTGGCTACATTTTTTTTTCTCCCTTTGGCAAAGTCAAAAGCCCTTGAGTTAGGAAATGCCAGAATGAATGCTGCCCATGCAACCTTAATTCAGTTTACTTGTGCCCATGCATTATGATGCAGCTTTAATTACACACAGAAGAAACCATCTGTGAACAGTTTGGTATAAGTGACTTGGCAAACATCACATAGGAACTCAGTGGCAGAAGCCGGACTAGAAACCAAACCTCCCAGGTGGTAGTCAACTGCCCTAACCACAAGCCCATCCTTTCTCTCATTGAAGGCCCCCCCAAACCTTCCAACTTCTGCAACAAAAAAGGCAGTCGTCCCACAGACAACAGCCTCCTTTACTACACAATGGATTCATCTCCTGAGCAGCCCCAGCATGTGCACTGACTGAGGCAGGGATCTTGGGAAAAAAATAATACAGGTTCATGTAATTAAAGACTGCATCATAGTACATAAACACAAGGGGGGCAAATTAAGATGGCATGTGCAACATTCTGGAATTTCCTCCCTTGAGAGCCCTTGACTTTGCAACCTTTAAGGATTAAACTTTGTATTTCCTAATTGTTAATTATTTAGTTTATTGATGAGAGCAGCCTTAACTAATGCTAAATGAGGTTTTTTTTGTTTGTAAATATTCTTTTTTAATAGAAACAAAATCTTTTATATATGTGCCATTTAAATAATAAAACACATTTATTAGGTTCAATGCCTATTTTATTGCTACTCTTATCTTTGTGCAGCTCCATATTTCACCACTTCAGTGTCTTGTTGACCAATACCTGGGAAGTCATTAAATTAAATTGTATTCAAATGAAACATGTTTTAAACTTCACATTTACTGCAACTTCTACATGACTTAAAAATGTGTAATGGAAAATGGAATAGGGACTTAGATCTCTAATTTCCTGGGTTGGTTTGTTTTGGAAAGGTAAATATTCAGAAAGCCAGAGATCGCCCCCAGTTTGTAAGAAGCAGCTAGCCAATCTCCATAAGCAGGAGCTGTAATTTTGTACCTTATTTTCATGTGCCACCCAGTCCCCACCCAAAGGAGCCCTGCTGCTTTCACTGCAGTGCCTGCTGGGACCCTGCTTTGTATCAATGACAGGGGGAATCAGAGGGAAACCAATTAGCAAAGGCAGCCATTGCCATGACAGCCAGGGTCATAGTGACCCTCCCCAAATGAGCAAAGGGACTGGATGGGGGGACACTGAGTGGCTGATTGTCTCTGCTGTCACAGTGGATCTGCTCTGACAGGGGACAGCAAATGTGTGCAGAGTGGGAAAAGGCTGGCTTTTCGAGTGTGCTGGTTTTCCCAAATTTCCTGAAAAATCCACCCCATCCAAACACAGCCCGGGGATCCCTGCACATGCACATCTATCCATGGTGGACTTTTGGTTCCAATTCCCCACATGGCAGGTTTACCAGAAAGGGTTTCTGAACAGAGCTGAGATGTGGAGGTATGGACCCGGTAAACCAGCCAGTTCTGACACAACCATAATTATGGTCTTAAATTCTATGGGTCTTGCTACTGCGAGACTGTAATCCTGAGGTAGCATCTAAAGGCCTCATCAAAGGCTCAGAGCCCTGTGGCACTGGGCCCTGCAGCTCAGGGAGAGACGGGCTGACTAGGAGATGTTATCTCAAAATAATCTGAGGGGGGTTTGTTCTTGTTTGTTGGAGCAGAGGGAAACTTCCCCTTGGGTCATCAGCAGGGATGGAACAGAGGATTTCCGCATTTTAAAGCATACGCTCCTCAATTTAGTGGTTGTGACCCCCAGGTGCGGGTCACATCCTAGGAATCCGTTTGCCATGGAAAAATGCAGAATTTGCATTTTTACAGAGAATCTTTCACTTTTACATTTTGTGAAAAAATAAAAATGTATACAGTAGAACCCCATTTATCTGAGCCTCCATTATCCAGCTCTCCAGATTAGCTGAACCACCAGTGCACACATAGGAATATAGGAAATTGATACTTCAGCCCTGCATCCTATGGCTGACAGTCTGAGCCCCTGCTGATGATCTGAATTTTTGATTATCCAATCGGGACCCAGTCCCAGTTAGATTGGATAAATGGAGTTCCACTGTATATCAATAAAACATTGGGTTCAACTGATACCTATATATATTGGGGCTAGGGAAATGAAAGTTCAGCCTTTCATTTTAATCACACAAAAATGTGGAGTTTTATGTTTTTTTGTTGGAGAATTTTGTTTTTTTAATCACAGAAAACTAGGAGCCCTTGTCAGGAGGCCTGGCAGTGAGATCTCTGTGGCAGGGAACTGAGTCCCTAGGGGAAGGGTTAGGAAGCAGTTTGGGAACTGAGGAGACAGGGTTGTGGATGCATCTCCTGTTTCCATCCCTGTGAGTGAGCAGGCTCCGAAGGGGCAGGACTTTCTTTGGGAGCAGTGAGGATGTAGTTCCCTCCCACAGTAATCTGGGCAGAAATGAGTTGGCTCCTGGTCCTATCTTACAACCCCCCCTATGCCAGGTCTCCAATCCCACATCACAGCAACAGGGATGCAGATTAGATTTATGTTCCAGCTAAACCAGGCAGTTAATACTTCTGCAATAGCTAAATGTTGCCTTTAGGGATTATTGCATGAATGGGGACAGTCCCCACCACTTGGCACTATTGTTTTAGGCTGGCTGCACACTCAGGCAGACAAATCTGCATCAGTACCACTCCCTTCACATTTTCAAGGGTTTCTTTGCATTCATGAGAGCTGGTGGGCATACTGTTTATTTTAAAGGAAAGTTAAGATTCTGGAGCAGATTTATGTTTTTAGCAGGGGATGGAATTTAAGGAGCTGCTTGGGGGATCCCCCTGACACTGTCCCCAGGGTGGCACATTCCCCCAGCAGCGCGGGGACTAGGCAGAGGCAGGAACTGGCTTTTCCTCTCCCTGTTCCTCACCTTGTCCCAGGAAAGTCAATCTGCCTGGGGTGCTGCAGGGAATGGGGCAGGGCTGGGAGCCGGGAACCTCCCTCCCCACTGATTGCTCCTGCTGCCCCTGCCAGTCTCTCCCCGTGTCGCCTTCCTGCCCCCCTCCCCTCCTCTCGGGCTGGGAGATTTGATCCCTGGCCCGGGCTCGGGACAGTCGCTCTCCTGGAGCTGGCTCGGCTCCTGCAGGCGCTCAGGGGAGCAGAGCTGGGGGCGGGTCAGGGAGGACAGCAGCTCTGGGACTTACAAACCCCTGACACCCCGGGAGCAAAGCTGGGGCAAAGAGGGGCCATTGGTGCAGAGTCACTTTCCTGCCCGGCCCCAGCCCTTCCCCCCCCCCGGTCTCTCCCCTCACCTGGAGTCTGCAGCCCCCAGAGAAAATCCCCCTCCGGCTGGGAAGGGGCGTTAATGTAGGTTTCTCCCCAGCTACCATAGCCCTTCCCTTTTCCTTAACAAAGCCCTTCCCTGCAAAAGTATCGGGTCTGCAACTTCTGCCCCCAACTCACTCACAGACTGGAGACAGGTCCCCAAAAATCTTCAGGTGCTGTGACACAAACTCACCTGATGCCCAGGTGCCCCAGAGCAGCATGAACTGGGACCACAAATAACACAGGGGACAGATAGGAACCTACTCTCCGCAAACTCCAGGGGTGCCAACCCTAAACACCATGGCCCCTCTTGCTTCTTTACAAATGGGGTTTACTGAGCCATTGGAGTTTGAGTTAACAGCAAATCAGCCACCCACACTTCCCCCTGGATCTTCCAGATTCCATCTTGTTCCTGAACAGAGAGGACCCTGCAGAACAAAGACACCCAAGCCTGCTGCCATCTGGGGCTCCGAGCAGTCCCTTGGCCATTGGGTCTCTTCTGCTGTGAGGTATCCTCTGGCGCAATCCTGGGTCCTCACAGAAACACCCCAGACTCCTGGTGTCTCCTTATTTCCATTTGCTGGATCCACAGAGAAGGGAGGCCAGTGTTGATGTGGCCATCATATTTAGACTCACCTGTAAGTATCCCCTGGGGCCTGGCTTTATGGGAGTGGTGAGCTTCCCAGCTTTGTGGGAGCTGAGCCCCCCAGGCACTGAGGAGCACCTGCCAGAGTGTGGGTAGCCTGGTGAGGGGGTTGAGATGTCACTGGAACTGGCTGAATACAGCCAGGGAATTTGCATTTAGAACTCTAGGATGTTTTACAATCAGTTGTAGGGTGGAATTCATGCCTGGGACAGGGGCCAACCAATGGTCTGAAAACACAGCTTTTGTGGGACTTACTTAGTGCAGAGCCCTGCCTGGGGTGGGGCAGTTGTTATGAATTGTATTACGGGAGCACCTCAAGGCGCTGAGAACCGATCCCCATTGTACTGCGATGCGCAGACCCTGAGAGGGTCCCTGCCCCAGATAGCTCACGGTCTAAATAGATTATTACACCCATTGTATATTACACAGGGAAACTAAGGCACATACAGATTAGGTGACTGGCCTGAGGTGATACGGGGAGGCTGAGAGAGCGGTCCCAGCCCAATGCCACAACCAGCCTTCTTGCTACAGACTCCAGGTCTGTGACTCCCCAGCTCTATTGCTTAGAAGGGGAGTGTGCCAGAAATGACTAAACCCATAACCGTCACTCTGGCCCCATTACAAATGGGCTTACCAGTTCTTTTCCTGGGCCCACCAGGGGCATGTGTCTTCTGGGCTCCAGGCAGTCTCCTTGGGGTCAGGCTTCCCTCAGCCCCTGTGCCCTTATATTTTGGGTATTCCCTTTGATAATCCTGGGTCCCAGTAGTGTCCCTACCGCCAGCACCCCCGCACAGGTGTTTGTTACAGAATGTATGAACTGCAGGTGTATTCCTACATTGATGCACGTGACCTGAGTGTTTCATTGTTTCCACACTTTTTATTGGGTAGCTTTTTTATTTTAAAAAACCCCTAATAACCTTGGGAGTTATTTTTTGCTAACATTTGCTACTTACAAAACAAGCGGCCAGATCTCCAACAGCATTCAGCTTGTCCGTAGACCATCCCACACGCTGAGCTAGTCAGAAAGTCTGGCCCTGCTTGTGGGTGCTTTGGCCCATAAAACTTCATGGGATGAAGTCTCCTAACTCTGTTCCTTTCTAAGCTCCCACTCCTCTATCCCTATTGGAAGTAACCTTGGGGTCTCCTCTCTGGATCCCTGTTACAGCAGATAGTGGCTGTAAGTCACACAGAGATGGAGTTAGGTCCTCGGAGATCAGCCCTTGCTAGGCACTGGAGAATCAGCATCCCACGTTTGATTTCAGCTGCAAACATCAGTGTTTAGATTAGTGCATAGACTTTGTGCTGGCCCTCTGTGCAGAGAGGAATTATAGCTGGGACCTCCAAAAGAGCTAGGCACTCAGATGCATTGACTTGACCCTGCAGGCCATGAACATGCAAGCCTAGGCACCTGAAATTCATTGATGTCAATGGGTGCTGGGTGCCTAGAGGCTTTTGAAAATCCCACTAGGTGCCTAAATACCTTTAGAAATCTGGCCCTATGTGCTGAAGTTTCCTCCTCAGTCCAAGGGTTACATGCATCAGCCCAGCCCTGCTAAATAATGCTCAGCCCATAAGGGCATATCTGCACGATGGCGTAGGCAGTGAGAAGCCTCCAGCACAGAACAGCTAACGCCTAGTCCCCACCATCCGGATGTGAGAGCAGTGCCCCTCACAGTCGGAGCAATGATTGGAGAGCTCAGCACAGACTAACAGAGGTCTCAGAGGCACCATACGGGTTGAGCTTCTGACACCCATGAGGATCTGAGAAGTGTTCCAGGAACTGTGTCAGTTGGCCAGGTGTGTGGCCCAGGGGCTGTATGTTGTTTTTGTCTTGGGGGATGGGGTGGAGTGATAGCCCCAGTGATAGGGCCAAGGGGAACCCCTTTCTTAGTGCCAAAATCCAACACCCACAGGAGCTTATTGACCGTGAAAGCTTGCCCTGCTCAAACCCTCTGGCATGCAGAGATATGTGAAGGAAAAGGGCCTCAAATTCTACATATCAAAAGAGTTCAGGCCTCATGTGTCCCTTGTCCAAGGACTCACACACAAAACACTATATGTCAGCATTGACAGCAAAACTGCCACCTTTCGGCCCGGTCTCCCTCTCCCCACAGAGACAAGGGCTCTTTGCTACTTTTCGAAAAAACAACAGCAAAATCCCACTAACTTATTATTGAATGATTGTTGCTTCAGAAAACTAACTTATGCAAAAGGCTGGGATGGAAAAATATTAACCAAAGTGATTCCTGAGTTGACTCTGTTACCGATAACAAAAAAAAGTCAATAAGGAGGCATCAAAGGCAAATTCACTTGCACAAACTTGAGGGTGAACTCTCAGAAGAAGGTGATGGAGAGAACAGTGCCTCAGCAGACAACTCATGCACCATATGCCCTCTGTCCGAAAGGGCTCACATACACACCTGTGAAAACAGAGCCCTGGCACATGCAGATGTCTCACCCACCATGCGCCCTCCGTCCGGAGTGCTCACGCAGGCAGCTGTGTACGCTGGCCACAAGATCAGCTACCCTTGCAGGGAGCCAGGTCCCTTCCAATACCCAGAGCAGCTCAGCTGGATCTAGGTAGGGCACCTGTAGCGCTTCTCCCCCGTATGGGTCCTGTGGTGTCGGATAAGGTCCGAGCTCCGGTAGAAGCTCTTCCCGCACTGGGCGCAGGCGTAGGGGCGCTCGCCAGTGTGGATGCGCTGGTGGGTGACAAGGTTGGAGCTCTGGCTGAAGCTCTTGCCACAGTCGGGGCAGGTGTAGGGCCGCTCGCCCGTGTGCACACGATGGTGGGTGATGAGGGTGGAGCTCTCGGTGAAGCTCTTGCCGCAGTCGGGGCAGGTGTAGGGGCGCTCGCCGGTATGGGTGCGCTGGTGGCAGATGAGGGTGGAGCTATCCACGAAGCTCTTGCTGCACTGGGGGCACTGGTAGGGGCGCTCCCCGGTGTGGACGCGCTGGTGCCGCATGAGGGAGGAGCTGTCGTTGAAGCTCTTCCCGCACTGGGTGCACTTGTAGTGCTTCTCGCCGGTGTGGATGCGCCGGTGCCGCAGCAGGGTGGAGTTCTCGCTGAAGCTCTTCCCGCAGTCACCACAGATGTAGGGCTTCTCCCCGGTGTGGATGCGCCGGTGCCGGAGCAGGGCCGAGCTCCAGATGAAGTTCTTTCCGCAGTCCCGGCAGGCGTAGGGCATGTCGCCCATGTGGACCCGTTGGTGCTGCACGAAGTAGGAGCTGTCGCTGAAGCTCTTGCCGCACTCCCCGCAGACGTAGGGCCGCTCGCCCGTGTGGGTCTTCTGGTGCCGCACATGGGTCGAGCGGATGCTGAAGCACTTCCCGCACTCCTCACACCGGTAGGGCTTCTCGCCCGTGTGGGTGCGCTGGTGCTTGATGAGGGTGGAGCCGTGGCTGAAGCGCTTCCCGCAGTCAGGGCACTCATACGGCTTCTCGCCGGTGTGGATGCGCCGGTGTGCAATCAGCGCCGAGTTCTGGTTGAAGCTGTTCCCGCCACCGGGGCACTTGTAGGGTCTCTCCCCGGTGTGGATCCGCCGGTGGATGATGAGGGCTGAACTGCTGCTAAAGCTTTTCCCACAGTCCTCGCACCGGTAGGGCCGCTCCCCGATGTCTTTGAGCTGATTGACACCTCTGCCCGGGTAGGAGGATCTGCTCTTCCCTGTCCCTCGAGGGTTTCCCTGCTCAGCACTCTGGGAAACATCCCCTTTGGCTGTTCCCGATACCGCCCCATGTGGTTCCACTGGTTCAGGGCCTTTCTGCTGAGGGGTCTCCTTCTCGCTCTCACTCCCCGTCCCGTCACCTGCTGGGACAAAGAGAATCCAGACAGGAGTCACTCCCTGTGCCGGGAGGAAAGGGAATCTCAGAGAGGGAGGAAGAAACCCATATAACTGTGGGAGAGGGAGAAAAATCAAGAGACAGTTCCTTAGCCACAAACCATCCTTCCCACTGTAATGTTTTCCTGGCTGATGTAACCAATTCCTCACCTGGGCGGACATCCCTCAGAAGCTCTGGTTCCTCAGAGTCCTGCAGATCTGGGGCCCACAGCTCTTTCCTCTGCTCCATCCAGGAGATCACATTGGGCTCGGGGATGGGAAATCCTGCTTGGGGGAAAGAGAACAGGCAAGATCAGGGCTTGAGACACAGACAGAGAATATTTATTATAGAGATGTGATTTTAACCCTCTCTCTGTGCTGGGAAGTTGGGAGAAAAGGTCCATGGACACACTCTGGGAGAGTCAGATGTCTGCTGGGGGATGTGTTGTGTCACTATTACAGATTCAAAGGTTCCAAAGCCAGAAGGGACCACTGTGATCATCTCTTGTATAACACAGGCCAGAGAACTGCCCCAAATAATTCCTATAGCAGAGCTGTTAGAAAAACACCCAATCCTGATTTTAAAATTCTCAGTGATGGAGAATGCACCATGAACCGTGGTAAATTGTTCCAATGCTTAATTACTCTCACTGTTAAAATGTATGCCTTATATCTAGTCTGAATTTGTCTAACTTCAGCTTCCAGCCAACGGATTATGTTAGACCCTGCTCTGCTAGAACGAAGAACTCATTATTAAAAATTTGTTCCCCACCTAGGTACTTATAGACTGTGATCAAGCCACCCTTTCACCTTCTCTTCTCTCTGAGCTCCTTGAGTCTATCACAATAAGGCAGGTTTTTTAATACTTAAGTCATTCTTGTGGCTCTTCTCTAAGCCCTCTTCAATTTATCAACATCCTTCTTGAATTGTGGGCACCAGAACAGGACACACACATAATATTCTCTAATAGAATACAATATTAAAATTTACATATGCCTATAATATAAAAGTGCAAACGAGAGGTCAAAATGAAATGGCTTGACTTTCTCTCATTGAAAATTTCATTGAAATGGACACGTTCTGGTAAGACATTTTGATTTTGATGAAATGGCATTTTTTGACTAAAAACTGTTCAGTTGCAAATTTTTTGACCAGCCCTAACCACTGGTGTGTCCTTGAATCTCCTCTCCCAGGGGAAGGGGAGTGAAAGGAACAGTCACTCTTTTAACACACGCACACATACTCTGGGGCTGATCCCCATGAAACCTAAGGGAGTGGAAAAGCACCCCGAGTAGAACCCAAGCCAGCTGCTTCTAATACCTGAGGGGACAGGAACCCTTCCCCGTGACATCCCTGTAGAGGGCTGTCTGACCTGGGTCCATCAGAGCCCACTGCCACTCGTTGAAATACACACATACCTCCTCAAAGGTCACTGGCTCCTGGAACAACAAGAATCCCCCACTCAGTGAGCCACAGTCCCACTCGCTCAGTCACTGGTGCCCTGAGTGCCCCATATTAAATGCATCTCAGCAGCTCATTCCTTTCTCAGCACCTTCTGTTATTTCAAATCAATCGTTCCCCCGTCCCCCACCAGCAGCCCCTGACCATCCCCTACCTGAGCCAGCTGCTCTGCAGCCATTTCCCATCCCCGACCCCCGGGCAGGCGGTTTGATCTGGAGTGAAACGGGGACGTTATCCTGCAGCCTGTCAGGATGAGAAGGGCGAGTGGGGAGGTTTCAGAAGCGGCTTTCACCCATTTCTCACCCTGATTCCCCCCAGGGTCTTTCTGTGGATACAGAAATGAAGCTCACAGAACATTCAGTCTCCAGCCACCCAAGCACACCTATACAGGGGAGCGGCTGGCTATCACATTATAAGCTGGGCTGACAGCACCACCTATTATTAAGATTGCCCGGCACATCCTGTTATAAGAAACTGTTTTCTGTGGCTTATAACTTTGCCAAACGTAAACTGTTTGGCCTGATCTTTTCCATGCCAGGTCTCTGCCTCAGGCTGAAAAAGCTGGGAAAATTTCAACCAAACAGTCCAGCCATTTCTGAAACTGAGGCTAGGGAAAAATAAGTGGTTTTGCCCATGCTGAAAAATTCGGATGTCCTTTTCTTTGAAAAGCTCACGCACTCTCCATGCTTCAGAGCAGGGTGTTGTAATGCGGGGAGTGGGGGGGGGGAAAGAATTTTGCCATGCCTGGGAAACCCGCATTTGGCTAATGTATATGCCTTTGAAAAATGCTATTTGCACATGGTCAGCAGAGGCTTCTTTGGTTTTAGCTGCTAAAATTGCTGAAGATTTTGTCCTCACTGAGCATGTTCAAGCCCCTCCCTGCTCCTAGTGCTGGCCAGACTGTTCATTCACCATCCCCAGAGAGCAACTGAACAAGCCCTGTCTCCTCCCAGCTCCCCTATGCCTCACTAGTCCCTGGAGCCCACTGCTGTGTATGCCAGCAGCCTGCTGACCATCCCCACAGCAAGAAGAAACTCTTGTGAGCTGCCTCTAACCCAACCTACAGAACTCAGCGCTGACACGAGGCATAACTGATCCCTCTGGGTATATGTTGTGCACCCCTCCTCCTATCACAGTGACAACTCTGCCAGCCTGCTCCAGTTAACCCCTCCACCAGTCAGTGCAGCTGCACCTAATGCAATGAATTCAGGTGGGATGCATGCTGGACTACAAATCCATGGAATACAACCCAATGTCTCTTGGTCTCCTTCACATCTCCTTTGCATGGCAGCAACGTTATTGAACCCACTCCAGCAGGTCGGGCCAGCTCCGGGGGCCAGAGTTAGGGCAAATGTAATCCAAAACAACTATTGCAAGCCCACAGGACCAGGGAAAGGTGAGGAGTAGCAAATTGCGACAGGGAGACCCCCCATACCCCAGAATTTGCTACCACTGGCCCCAGGGGATGGAGGTAGAAAAATTCTAACGGGGTAGCACAGAATGATACACCAGCTGTGTCAGATATTAATACCAGTAGCAAACTGGAACAGGCAGCAGTTCGTGACACTCCAACTGACTCTCCCTGCAACCGCTGCTCCAGACTATGGTGGGGCTGGGCACCTGAACCAGTGGAACTGTCTCCCCTACACTCTCAGTGACCCCCTGCAGCACCACGGAGGAAGCTATATGATTAGAATGCAGTTGGTGCAAAGGCAGACCAGGGTGGGAGGGGGGAAGGAGCAGATTGGCACAAGGACTGGGACTGGATGTGGAGGGAGAGAATCTGGGACTGCTCAAGGAGACTGGGAGACAGTGAGGGAAATGGGGGGATTGGGAGCCAGCTGGCTGTTGAGAAACACTGAGGTCAGGAGAGGAGCTGGGAGGAGTGTGGGGAGACTGACATGGGCTGAACAGTCTCCCAAGGTCCTTGCACTTAGGCTCTGTCCAATTCTTGCTGTTTCTTTCTGTATAGCAGCTGTAAAACACAGCCTTGCCTGTCCCACACACAGCTCAAACACCCCACCAGGCTCTCCATTACCGCAGCACCCTTTGCACCCGGAGCAGGGGGACCAGAACCTGGGTTTCCCCCATGAGAGCACTAATCACTGGACTGCAGAGTCCGTCTCACCCTCTCACTGTCCCAATGAATATTGAAATCGTGATGCACGGTGGAGCAGCTGCAACAGGCGAGACGGAGAGCCCGCTGGCCAGAATGCCCCGTGGCCAGGGCACTTCCGTGAGAGGCAGTAAACCCTAATTAAAGCCTACGCTTCCCCACCAGGCAGAGACAGGCGACCCAGGCTCAGTTCTCTCGCCTTGGCTGAGTGCTCCAACCCCTCAGCTAGCAGGTAAGGAGAGGCACCATTCCTCCATATTTTGAAAGTCAGGTGAGGGCTCATGGCTGTGACTCCTGAGCAGAGGGAGGGGGAGGACTTAGGCACCTAGGTGTCCCCTAGAGGGACAGGGCTGAGGACTTACCCCTCTTCTCAGCATTTCCTATTGGCTAGCTCAGGCTGGTTTCCCTGCTAGCGGAGCCTGTTCCTAGTTGCCTTACTCTCCCCATTCATCGTACAGGTGCCTAACTCAGGCCTGTGCCTTCCACTAGGCAGCAGGGCATCTGCGTGTCAGGCATGGCAACCCAGGTGGAAAGTGGTCTGAGAAAAGTGGGAGGCCTAACATAACCTGGGAACAGCAGCTTTGGGTAAGACAGCGCTCAAAAGTGTCACTCGGAGACCCAACTTCTTTAAGCTGCTGGAATCCTGTGTCCAGTTCGGGGTCCACAATTCAATAAGGATGTTGATAAATTAGAGGAGGTTCAGAGCAGAGCAATGACAATGATTAAAGGATTAGAAAACCTGCCTTACAGTGATAGACTCAAAGAGCTCAGTCTATTTAGTTTAACAAAGAGAAAGTGAAGGAGTGATGTGATTACAGTCTATAAAGTAAAAAGAAAAGGAATACTTGTGGCACCTTAGAGACTAACCAATTTATTTGAGCATAAGCTTTCGTGAGCTACAGCTCACTTCATCGGATGCATACTATGGAAAGTACAGAAGATCTTTTTATACACACAAAGCATGAAAAAATGGGTGTTTACCACTACAAAAGGTTTTCTCTCCCCCCTCCCCTGCTGGTAATAGCTTATCTAAAGTGATCACTCTCCTTACAATGTGTATGATAATCAAGGTGGGCCATTTCCAGCAAAAATCCAGGTTTTCTCCCCCCCCCCCCCCGGATTTGTGCTGGAAATGGCCCACCTTGATTATCATACACATTGTAGGAGAGTGATCACTTTAGATAAGCTATTACCAGCAGGAGAGTGGGGTGGGGGGAGAGAAAAGTTTTTGTACTGGTAAACACCCACTTTTTCATGCTTTGGTGTATAAAAAGATCTTCTGTACTTTCCACGGTATGCATCTGATGAAGTGAGCTGTAGCTCACGAAAGCTCATGCTCAAATAAATTGGTTAGTCTCTAAGGTGCCACAAGTACTCCTTTTCTTTTTGCGAATACAGACTAACACGGCTGCTACTCTGAAACCAGTCTATAAAGTATCTACATGGGGAACAAATAATAGAATTATAGAATATTAGGGTTGGAAGAGACCTCAGGAGGTCATCTAGTCCAACACCCTGCTCAAGGCAGGACTAACCCCAACTAAATCATCCCAGCCAGGGCTTTGTCAAACCGGGCCTTAAAAACCTCTAAGGATGGAGATTCCACCACCTCCCTAGGTAATCCATTCCAGTGCTTCAACACCCTCCTAGTGAAATAGTGTTTCCTAATATCCAACCTAGACCTCCCACACTGCAACTTGAGACCATTGCTCCTTGTTCTGTCATCTGCCACCACTGAGAACCGCCTAGCTCCATCATCTTTGGCCCCCTCCTTGAAAGTTGAAGGCTGCTATCAAATCCCCCCTCACTCTTCTCTTCTGTGGACTAAATAAGCCCAGTTCCCTCAGCCTCTCCTCATAAGTCATCTGCCCCAGCCCCCTAATCATGCCCTCCATTGGACTCTCTCCAATTTGTCCACATCCTTTTTGTCGTGGGGGACCCAAAACTGTACGCAGTACTTCAAATGTGGCTTCACCAGTGCCATCAAGGGGAATAATCACTTCCCTCGATCTGCTGGCAATGCTCTTACTAATGCAGCCCAATATGCTGTTAGCCTTCTTGGCAACAAGGGCACACTGTTGACTCATATCTAGGTTCTCATCCACTGTAATCTCCAGATCTTTTTCTTAGCCAGTCCCCAGCCTGTAGCCGTGCATGGGATTCTTCCATCCTAAATGCAAGACTCTGCACTTGTCCTTGTTGAACTTCATCAGATTTCTTTTGGCCCAATCCTCCAATCTGTCTAGGTCCCTCTGGACCCCATCTCTACCCTCCAATATATATACACCTCTCCCCCCAGCTTAGCGTCATCCGCGAACTTCCTGAGGGTGCAATCCATCCCATCATACAGGTCATTAATGAACATGTTGAACAAAACCGGCCCCAGGACCGACCCCCGGGGCACACCACTTGATACTGGCTGCCAACTAGACACCGAGCCATTGATCACTACCCATTGAGCCCGATGATATAGCCAGCTTTCTATCCACCTTATAGTCCATTCATCCAATTCATACTTCTTTAACTTGCTGGCAAGAATAATGTGGGAGACCATATCAAAAGCTTTGCTAAAGTCAAGGTATATCACAAATATTTAATAACGAGCGCTTCAATCTAGCATAGAAAAGTCTAACATGAACCAACGGCTGGAAATTGAAGCTAGAGACCCACAGACTGGAAATGAGGTGTAAATTTCTAACAGTGAGTGTAATTAAGCACTGGAACAACTTACCAAGAGTTGTGGTGGATTTTCCATCCCTGACCATTTTTAAATCAAGATATTTATTTTTCTAAAAGATCTGCTCTAGAAATTAGTTGGGGGCAATTCTCTAGCCTATGCTGTGCAGGTAGGGTGACCAGATGTCCAGGTTTTATAGGGACAGTCCCGATTTTGTGGGCTTTTTCTTATATAGGCACCTATTACCCCCCATCCCCTGTCCTGATTTTTTACACTTGCTATCTGGTCACCTTATGTGCAGGTCAGACTAGATTATCACAATGGTCCCTTCTGACCTTAAAATGTATGAAAAAATATCTTTTGTCAGGTCTGCAACTCCTTGAGATGCTTCACTCCCCCTGCATGCACACACACTTTAAGCACTAGTTCCAATGTGGAATCTAGTCCCTTTGTGGCTTTAGCCCTTGGAGACTCCAAGCAACGGATAATCTGTTCCCAAGGTAATTGGTTCCCACAGATAATTACACTGACAGTTAAAAACTCTGCTCCTTAAAACAGGGGGATTGACGATGGTATCTATGCAGGGAGAAGCTTTCTGAGACAAGGCTCTGCAGTCCAGCGGACAAAGACAAAACAAGATCCAATGGCTGGAGTTGGGAGTCAGTAAATTCAAACAGGAAATGACACTAGTGTGATCACAGTGAGGCATCAAAACAGAATACCAGCTGGTCAGGCTGGATGTAGGGATCACTGGATGAGGAGCCCTGGTCTGTGCGATGCAGGAGGACAGGACAGATGATCACAATGGTCCCTTCCAGCCTTAAAATCAGTGATAATAAATATTTACTGTAACTACATCAAACCACTACAAACTGGATCACGGGTTAGAGAACACAAGTTCTTCCAAGTGAGAGAGAGGGTCGATCCTTCTGCATCATGTTATCAACTCTGGTGATATTACTGTGAGTAATATTTAGAGTACATCATACGGCCCCAGCTCCTGGAGTCTTGTGCTCCCTTGTGAATCTCAGCTAGCTAGCTTTCTTGCTAGTTTCCAGCCCTTGTGGTTGAAGAGAAAACACAACCCTTTAAAGGCTTGAAAAGCAAAAGATTAATATGCATTGGATTCTTTTTATCTCTCTTTTTTTTTTAAATAACATGATTTTTAAATCCATCTTTTTGGACTGTGGTGCATGACTTTTTAGCATTTCGAGTCAGCAATACCGTATTCCTTATGATATTTTGTAGCATTAATATTCTAGGTATGGAGTATGTACAAAAACCAGTCATCCTGCCAATATATTTCTATAGGCTGAGCTGGCAAAGTCCATTGCTGGGAGCTTTGCCATTCCTGACTAACACAACCATTTCAAACAAACAGTCATGCCATGCCATGATGTTACTCCCTGGGACTAAGTCAAACCTTACTTCATCTCCAATCTGCTTCTCTCAGGGCCTCTTTCACTAAAGCCCAACAACAAAGAACACCTCGCAGACAAAGGCTCTCATCCCCAGTGCAGGCACAGTGCACAGAGATCCAAGCGCCATACCCCACAGAGCTCATTGCAGAGCGGTCACTTTGTTCTGCACAGACCCAGCCCCTCCCACCCGGCCTAAACCCACCCACAGACATTTTAAACCCCCCCAGTAACAGAGTCTCTGAGCCAAGAGCTAGAAAAGAGCAGAATCCAAGGAGCTGCTTTGAGGGATCCCCCTGACACTGTCCCCAAGGCAACGCATCCCCCCGAGCAGTGTGTGGACTAGGCAGAGGCAGGAACTGCCTTTTCCTCTCCCTACCCCTCATCTTGTCCAGGAAAGTCAATCTGCCCGGGTGCTGCAGGGAATGGGGCTGGGAGCAGGAACCTCCCTCCCCATTTATTGCTCCTGCTGCCCCTGCTAGTCTCTCCCCCATCTCCTTCCTGACCCCTCTCCCCTCCCCTCGGGTTGGGAGACTGGGTCCCTGGCCCGCTCCCGGGCCGGTCGCTCTCCCGGAGCTGGGTCGGCTCCTGCAGGCGCTCAGGGGAGCAGCTCTGGGACTCGCAGACAGGAGGGGCCATTTGTGCAGAGTCACTTTCCTGCCTATCTAGGGTGATTAGCTAGCAAGTGTGAAAAATTGAGACACCTTTTTTGGGAGGGGGCAGGGGGAAGACAGTGGATATAGCTACCCATACAAGACAAAACCCCTAATATCTTGGGACAGGCCAGATAATATTAGGAGGTCTGGTCAACCTACGCCCACCCCCGGGTCTCTCCCCTCACCTGCAGCAGGCTCCGGCTCAGGGGCTGGTGTCGGCAGAGCCCGGGGCTGTCCCGGGGGCTTGTTCCAGCCCCCAGAGAAAGTCCCCCCGGCTGGGCACAGAGGGACACTAGGGAAGGGTTCTCCCCGCACCCACCCCGCTGGGCGGCAGCAGCTCAGTCTGCCTTTTGGACACTACAGATGAAGCAGCAGCTGTGACCCAGGAAGCTCAACCCCGGATCTGCTCAGCATAGAGATTGCAGTAACCAGCATCTTCCCTTCCTTCCAATAGCCAGAGCCCTCTGGTGGCCACAGCTCAGGAGCCCTGGGCCCAGACCTGCTGCATGGCAGGAATCCGGCCAGAGCCCTGCCTGCACCTGAGCAGTTACAAACCAATTTGGAAATTAGGAGGGAAACAAGAAAATAATTTTTTTCTTTTCGGGTTGTGAAATTTTCCATCCTTAGTGTGACTGAAGATGGTTGTGTACCATGATCAAAATATGAGCTTTCAAAAAAGGATTTCTGTAACCAGCATTACATATGTACCTATATTTTAAAATTCTACTATGTGACAAAGACAATCAAGTTTTAGGCAAGGGTCCTGCCGACTTCCCATCCTGCATTACAGTTAAGCATGTGAATAAGCATGTTCAACTGAGGTGGCAAAATTTGCAGATGATACAAAACTACTCAAGCTAGTCAAGTCCCCGACTGCGAAGAGTTACATAGGGATCTCACAAACTTGGGTGACTGGGCAGATGAAATTCAATATTGATAACTGCAAAGTAATGCACATTGGAAAACATAATCCCAACTATACATATAAAATGATGGGGTCTAAATTAGCTGTTAACACTCAAGAAAGATGTTGGAGTCATTGTGGATGGTTCTCTAAAAATATGCAGCGGCAGTCAACAAAGCAAACAGAATGTTGGGAATCATTGAGAAAGGGATAGATAAGACAGGAAATATCATATTGCCTCTATATAAATCCATGGTACGCCCACATCTTGAATACTGTGTGCAGATGTGGTCATCCCATCTCAAAAAAAAAAAATTTTGAATTGGAAAAGGTTCAGAAAAGAACAACAAAAGTGATTAGGGATATGGAATAGCTTCTGTATGAGGAGAGATTAATAAAACTGGGCCTTTTCAGCTTGGAAAAGAGATGACTAGGGGGATATGATAGAGGTCTATAAAATCATGACTGGTGTGGAAAAAGTAAATAAGGAACACAACACAAGAGCAAGGGGTCAACAAATGAAATTATAGGCAATAGGTTTAAAAAACAAAAGGAAGTATTTCTTCACACAATGCAGAGTCAACCTGTGGAACTCCTTGCCAGAGGATGTTGTGAAAGCCAAGACTATAACAGGATTCAAAAAAGAAATAGATAAATTCATGGAGGATAGGTCCATCAATGGCTGGTAACCAGGATAGGCAGGCATGGTGTCCCTAGCCTCTGTTTGCCAGAAGCTGGGAATGGGCAACCAGGGATGGACCACTTGATTACCTGTTCTGTTCATTTCCTCTGAAGCACCTGGCATTGGTCACTGTCAGAAGACAGGATCCTGAGCTAGATGGACCATTGGTCTGCCCAGTGTGATGGAGTGTGCATACCCCTCACTAGGTGAGAATGGGTTCATCCCACACTGTGGGTGGAGGAAGTTCCGCCCCTCAGACCATGGTGGGCATGCTCCAACTCTTGTTGGAGTATAAGAGGGAGCAGACTAGGTCAGTCTAGGCTGAATGCTGAGGAGGAAGGATGCTTGGTGAAGGCTCTAGCCCAGGAGCCAGTACAGCCCTTGCCTGTGGGAGCTGGAGAGCCCAAGAACTGACCAGAGACCTGTTGTCTATAGCTGAGTCAAAGTCCCAGTGAGTTACCTTTGCCAAGGGCCTGGAGACCCCAGTGTCATATGGACCATGACTTCAGGAAGCAGGGTAGGAAGCGGCCCAGGGAGGGGGAAGAGAATTGTGACCTCCCGCAAAGCAGAGTCTGCCTGTTGTGATATGATTCCCCACTGACTGGGTGGCAGACACATTTGCTACTAATGGGGCCCTGGGCCAGGAGCTGGTGGAGCAGAGAGGGCTCAGGTCCCATCCCTTCTCCCTGCCCCCGCCCCCCTGGACTGTCACTGCCCTGGGTTGTGGTCCTTGGCCTCTAGGCCACATAGCCCTGCACTTGACCACTATATTGACTCTGGGGGGAGGGATAGCTCCTGCTAAACCCAGGGTTGTGAGTTCAATCCTTGAGGGGGCCATTTAGGGATATAGGGCAAAAATTGGGGATTGGCCCTTCTTTGAGCAGGGGGTTGGACTAGATGACCTCCTGAGGTCCCTTCCAACCCTGATATTCTATGGCCACTTAACCATGCCACCTTGCACTTGAGGGCTGCTATATTGACTCTGGCCATTAAGCAGCACTATCTTGAGTCCCAGGACATTCTGGTAGACTAACGGTGGTGCCATCACACCCACAATCCACACCAAAGAGGGATGGGGTGTTCATGCACCACCACACCAGTATGGTCATTCTTATTTTCTTAAGTCTTTGCTTTTATATCTTGTGTGTGGCCTATGGAAAGCCCCAGGACTGCTCACCATACATGTAGGAATCTCTGAGTGGGGTTCTGGCCTGGGTTATACAGGGAGTCAGCCTGGATGATCAGTGGTCCCTTTTGACCTTGGAATCTAAAACCACTAATTACATCAAACCAATTTATATTTGATTGCATGTTAAACAGATGCTTTCCCCAGTTGACAGCTGGGATTGATCCTTCTGCATCATATTATCAACTGTTGTGATTTTATTGTCTCACAATATGTAGAGTTTATCTTGCACCCCCAGCTCCTGGAGTCATGTGCAGTACATGCTGATGTGTTTGCTGAACCGGGCGGCCTTATATAATTATGATATTTAGATTGCTGCTAGGGCTGTTTAATTGCAGTTAACTCAAGTGATTAACTCAAAAGAAATTAACCCAATTAAAAAATTAGTCGGGTCTAATTACACCATTAACAATATAATACCAATTTAAAATTTTGGGTGTTTCTCTACATATACATTTCAATTACAACACAGAATACAAAGTGTACTGTGCTCACTTTACATTTGATACAAGTATTTGCACTACAGTACTTGTATTAGGTGAATTGAAAAATACTATCTTTACAATGCAATCACTTTATCATGAAAGTTGAACTTACAAATGTAGAATTATGTACAAAAAACCTGCACTCAAATAAAACAATCTAAAATTTTTTAGAGGCTGCAAGTCCACTCAGTCCTACTTGTTCAGCCAATTGCTCAGACAAACAAATTTGTTTACATTTACGGGAGATAATGCAGCCTGCTTCTTATTTAAGTCATCAGAAAGTGAGAGGAGGCATTCACATGGCACTTTTGTAGCTGGCATTGCAAGGTATTTACATGCCAGATAGGCTAAAACTTTTGTCTTCCACTTCATTCTTTAGCCACCATTTCAGAGGAGCTGTTTCCATGCTGATGCTTGTTAAAAAAATGCATTCATTAAATTTGTGACTGAACTCCTTTGGGGAGAATTGTACATCTCCTGCTCTGTGGTTTTACCTGTGTTCTGCCATATAGAACATGTTATGGCAGTCTCAGCTAGTGACCCAGCATATGTTGTTCATTTTCAGAACACTTTCCAGTACTGGATTTACCATGGTGCTGGGCCCACAGTTCAAAGGGGCCCCACCTGGCCCGCTTTTCTCCACGGCACCCCCCTCCCCTCCCGGCTCTCCTATGGGGGCAGAAGCTTGATGCTGTTAGGGACACTGGGGCATGGCCACTAGGTAACTTGAGGGGATGGAAGACCACGAGTGTCAATGAAGCCCCCTCGCACTAGGCCCAAGTGTCCTTGGGGGGGGGGCCCTCCCCGCCTGGAGGCACACACAGCAGTTATGCTGAGAATCTGCAACAATATGTTGCAGAGTCAGACTGCCTGAAACTAAGCAAGGCCAAACAGGGGAGATATGGAAGAACAATGCTGAATAAAGCAGCTTTATGTATAGTTTAACAAATGATACAGAGAACCAGGGAACTAGCTGGGAACTGCATTGGCTGGCTATATGAATACTTAGAGCAGCTTGCTATTGGATAAGTATGCTGGGAAAAAGATGTATAAAAGCCTATGTAACTTCCTGCTCTGGGTACAGGATTTGAGATTCAAATCTCCCTGTACCTATTTGAAGCTTCAAATAAACTTTTCTGCTTCTCCATCCACCCTGTTGTGATTATTGGGTGTAGCACACTGGGTAACGAACCAACTTCAGCTGTTTAGCCTCTTGGCACTGGGTGCCGGCAACAATGCTGCCAGCTCCTGCTTAAGGCTTAGCCCTCTCACTTTTAAAAATGATTGCTTGCCCCTCAGGCTTTTCTGGCAGCCCTGTTGCCAGGTATCCCGTTTTAGACTGGAAACTCCAGTAGAAAATGACGAGTGTCCAGTTAGCAGAACTGACTGGAAACTAAAACTCCAGTTATAGGAGTAACCACATTAGCCTCTGCTCCTCCCACTCCCAACACCCACCCCAGAAGGCTGGAAGAGAACCGGCCCTGCTGCTGTGGGAGGAGGGGCAGCTCAGTGCAGAGAGACTAAGAGAATGGGCTAGAACCAGGTAAGTACCTGCTCTATGTGGGCAGGGGGTGGGGCGTGGAAAAATCCTGTTTACCTCTCCCCAGCCCTGCTGGGTTTGCAGTTTACCCCTGGCCCCTCCCTTGCTCCAGGGACCAACCCTAGCTCCTGCCCCAGTGGGCTTGTGCCCCAGCCCCTTTTACAATCATTCCCCAAGGGGCCCACAAATGTTGTGGGCCCAGCGCCAAAAAAGTTAATCTGGCCCTGACACTTTCACTGCAGATTTGACAAAATGCAAAGAAGGTACCAATGTGAGATTTCAACAATAGCTACAGCACTCGACCCAAGGTTTAAGAATCTGAAGTGCCTGCCAAAATCTGAGGGGGATGAGGTGTGGAGCATGCTTTCAGAAGTCTAAGAGCAACACTCTGAGCAGCAACTACAGAACCCAAACTACCAAAAAAGAAAATCAACTATCTGCCTGTGGCATCTGACTCAGATGATGAAAATGAACATGCATCAGTCTGCTCTGCTTTGGATAGTTATAGAGCAGAACCGATCAGCATGGAAGCATGTTCTCTGGAACAGTGGTCCAAGCGTGTAACTTTACAGTGCAA